AAAAAAACGCGACACCAAAAAAAAAAAAAGAAAACAAAGATAAAAGCGAGTCTCATAGAAAAGATAATTAAAAAATAATTCATATGTTTAAAATAATTATGAATTATAAAAAATTTTAAAAATATATAAAATAAAAATGTGAATCTCATAATAAAATCGTGAATCTCATTGAAATAAAAGCATTATATATATAATAAAAAAATAAAAAAAATTAAACTGAAAAAGAGCGAACTTCATGAGAAATAAAAAAATAGTGAGTTCCACTATAAATAAAAATTTTTATAATAAAATTTATTAAAGAGTTGAAAAATTAAAAAAAAATTAAAAAAATACTTGATGGAAATAAAACAAAAGTGGGTCTCACCAATAAAAAGCAGTGGATCTACACTAAAAATAAAATTAATTTTATAATAAAATATATTTAAAAAATTAAATAAAATAAAAAATAAAAAACTAATCGAAAAAATCCAAAATGTGAGTCCCATTAAAAAAAATGATCGAAATGTGGTCAATATCTTTCCGAAATTGCAACATTTATATTATATATATAATAGATAGATGAGAAAAAAGTAATACTATTTATTATTGTTAATATAATACATTATAAAAAAGAAACAATTAGATTTGGGTGTAACGTGATGGAAAAAGGCGTGACCCTATCATCAGTCGATGGCAAAACATGTCATCTATCATGCCATGTAGAAAGGACCCCACATGAAGAAAAATTGATGAAGCGAAGGATGCCCCAAAGTCCAAACTCAGGTGCATCCATGACGCATGATGCATGTCCATCTGCATTCTGACAAAAACAACACCACCTCATGTGTCACGAATCGCACATTTAAAAAATTAAAATGATTTTGTATTTTATAAATCGTGGATTAAATCGTGGACCTTCACATGTGCATATCCATTTATGATATATATGTACCTATCAATCTAGTTATCAATAGATCTAATAAATCACTGTAATCTGTCCTACCGTATTATTTTATATTACCCCAAAAAAAATCAACAAAGCAGAATGGGCCCTACCGTTTGGTGCCACAAAAAGTGAAAAAAATAAAAGTGATTCGAAAATATAGTATTTAATTTGATTTAAATTAGTTTTTTTATTTAATTTAATTTACATACAAATAATAAATATTTTATTAAATTCGAATTAAATTTTAAATTATATATTTTAAATTTTTATAAAATAAAATAATTATTATATATTAAATTTTATTTAAATATATTAAAAACTATATTAAAATAATAAAAAATTATAAAAAAATGAATTAAAATAAATTGATAAAATTCAATTAAAATAAAATTATTTTTAAAAAATCAATTTAAATTCATATTAAAATTTAAAAATTTATAATATTATTTGTTATGAAAAAAAAAAAAATCAAACGAATCATTCACCGCCTCAACTTACGACGAAACCTCCTAGTGTTCTGATTCCTTTATTCAGATGCGTCCAAAAACATGTGGTGGGTCCAACGAGCTTATGATTTTGGTTCCTGGTAGAGGTGGGGCCAAACCAAAGCCTCCATTGATCGAGCTTAAAGAGAGTGCGCTTTACGCATTTCGCGAGCATCTTATCCGCTTTTTCCATTTTTTAGGTGGCGGAGCCAAATGCTGCTTCCAGTCTTTGACTTGGAAATGTGGAACCGTTTCTGACAAATGGAAGCAGCTTAAACCACAACTCTCTAGTTTATATTTTGGTGTCAGAGGGTCAAGTTAGAGTATGGCCATCTTCATGATAAGTAAGAAACTAAAAAAAAAATTACAAGTATTAGACATCAAAATTTGAACCTAACCTTGTTAGATGGATTAACCATTTTGTTGTAAACCTTGTATTCATTCAAAAGCTCCACTTGAGATAAAGAAATTCAGTGTGCATTGAAATTACAATTTGCCCTCATTTAATTCCAATCAATTCCTACATGATTTCTTGAACAAAGTCAACTCGAAGCTACCCATTGGGATAAGGATTGTCAAACTAGCTTGAAAATGTAGGGTCCAATAGGGTGGTGAACGTTATTTTACTAAAAAAAAAAAAACCTTCAGCTTCAAGCAAAATTGAGTCTAAAGTTGATTGTGACACTTAGACATAATGCAGTTAATAGGCGTATTTTCTTTCTATTTTAGTTACTGATGCGCTATGCTTAAATGCATTTCCGTGCATTCATACTCGTTGAAAATTTCAAAGTGAACTTCGTTTTTGATGTACACTTCTTATCTTTTTCTCCTTGGAGATTAAGATTACAAATGATTATAATGGGTCTTTGGTCTTGTAGGAGCGCTTGCTAAAAACATTTCTCACATAAAATTTTAGTATTGATGTTGACATTTTTTTTTTATCATAGTCATTTCTCATATCAAAATCCATAAAACTATTGTCTTCAAGGGTACAACGTAATGGTTAAAATTTTGAGATTTTAATTTAAAAATTTAACATTTGAATTAAAAAAAAAGTGAAATTTATGAAATAAAAAATCCATCTTTTATTTATAGCTTATACTAAAATCATCCCGGTTAAGGGTTGATTGGCTGTGACAGCCAATCCCTCGTGTGAATTTTAAAAAAAAAAATTTTGTATATTAAAAAAAAAGAAAAAAAATAGATCAAAGGTGGATACAAAAAATTCTCAAACTAGTTGGACAATCGAACTGGTTGATCCAACGGTACAACTCTAATATAGTATTTCATGATATAAATTAAGTCATTTATAAATAGTTATTACTTTTAATATAAGTAAGGCCAATATACAATAAATTTACAAAATAATCTCAAGTGCAGAAGTCGGTGGGTCGTCACCATTTTGAATAGATTTCGAGTTTTAGGGCTTATATATCCGATATCCATTTAACTTAAAATAGGAAAAGTTTTATTTATTTTTTTACACAAATGAAGACATTTTAACTTTTATCAAACTATTCCTTTTTTTCACACTTTAACAAATTAGTTATATTTACTCGATCAACAAAATTAATCAATACATTTATTAAATCATATACATTCGAATGTCATGTTAATATTAAAAAAAATCGATATCGAGACTCTTTATTATAAAGTGGGTTCACCCTCACCTAAAAGAGATTTACTCAACTATTTTCACTAGTATCATTAAAGTATCATTTCATAATATATCAATTGATTTCTAACTTACTTATGATTATCAAATATAATCTACATTGATATAAGATCATTAAATACAATCCACACTCATCTTCACATGAATTTAAGATCAATTGTTAACAGCTTTGGTTACAATAAAAGCTTTAAACTTTCTCCCTTAAGCTTTCTTAATACTCTTTACGGCTTACTTTTTTTTTCCTAATTTTTTACTATTTATTTTTTGCGTTTTCTCTTTTCCCTCCTATTATTTCTTTATTTTTTTCATTTTTTAAATAAATAAAAAATATAATTTTGATAAAAACTAATTTTAATTCTTTGAAAAATTAATGTACTTTTTTTTTAATAATTAGTTTTTAAATTAAATTTTAAAAAATAAAATTAACTCTTAACCATAAAACTATTATAAATTAAACATTGTTTAGTTAATTAATTTTGAATTATTAAATTTAAATAGTATTTCTTTTCTTTTTTTTCATTTTTTATTTTTTTCTATTCTCTCCCTTTTCATTTTTTTCTTTTTTAATTTTGCCCTATTGTCGAGAGAAAGAATAAAAGAAAATGAGATAAAAATAAAAAAGAAAGAAAATAGATAAACATATTAGTAATTTAAAAAAAATCAATTATGTTTTTGGAAAAATCATTTTATATAAAATAATTTTATCTCTCAATCATATAAATTATTTTAAATTTAAATTATAAAAAGAAAGAAAACAAATGAAAAAGAAAGAAAATAAAAAATAGTGAAAATATAATTTTTATAAAAAGAAATTTTTTAAAAAATTTTAAAACAATCGATTATTTATTAAAATATGAATTTTAGGACAAAATTAAATATAACTCTTATCTATAGAAATTATAATAGAATATCTATTTTTTTGGTTTATTTTTTTAGTTACATTTATATAAAAAATAATAAATTGAAATTATTTTTATTTTATTTAGAGTAATAAAAAATATTTTATCTTAATTTTAATTATACACATAACAAGCATGGTAAAAGATAAAAATAATTTTATCATACGCTTAATTCTTACACATATCAAATATAAAAAAGTATAACATCATATCATCTGATTCGATTTAAAATTTTATATCATTTTATGTTATTCATAATCTTATATATCAAATATACCTTAAATGTATTTAGATAAATTAATAATTATGAATATATAAAAATAAATAGATATTTTAATCATTATCGTTCTTAAATAATTTTATAATTTTCTACTATTATAATATGTTTTCATTAAAAAAAAATCTATGCCCTAATATTTATTTATTATTTTTTGACCCAATATATAAAAATTTTATTACAGAAATGATAAGAATTTGCCAGTTACACTATACTATGTTCCATGTTGATGTATCGAATTAGAATTAAACTAAGCAATGAAGATTGAATACATTATACTTTAACTAAAGACAATTAAACCTTAAACGAGAACAGAGCACCTAGTGAAAGGCATCATGGAGGCAGCTATTTAACACGAAAGAGCTTTAAATAAATCAACACACGCATTTAATTGCCGCAATTGGAGATAGCATTTATATTTATCTTTGACCTTGGCAGGCTAAGGGTAAGGCTAGCATATTCTCGAAGCAACCCATTAATGTGCTTTTCTCTTTGGTGAAATGTAGGCCACTACACGCGTTTCAATAAACGGCAAAATCAAATGGTCCACGCGGTTCTAACCTCTTCCTCATTTAATTTTTAATCATGTTGAAGATTTTGACTTAATCCTCCTTAATCCTTGCTTAATTTACCTTGTTATTTTTTCTTTATCAATTGGATTAATGTAAAAAAAAAAAAATCTCTACAATTGGATTAATATAAAATAAAATTAAATATAAAATCCAAATGAAATAAAAGCATGCTAGAGAAAGACGCAAGTAAATAGGATAGAAGCAGCCGTATCATATCATAAATTTAACATCCCCTCAATCCCAATGCCGCGCATGTATCGGTTATGTCCCAGGTTTCTTGGCTTCCTCTGAAAATTTAGGTACTTCATCAGTTTCTTTCTTCCCGGCAACGACGAGGACAAAGGAAACGATTCTCTGGCGCTGGAAGCATAAGATCTGCAGAACTTCGTCCCCCTAATTTCCCATTCTACCCCTTCCCTCCCCCACCACCTTCTCCTCCTTCCTCCAAAGCTCACATCAATAAATGACGTTTTTTTTGAATCCTTAGACGTGTCCCTAACGTGTCGAATCTTTACGTCCTTCGTCACGCCTTCCAAGCCAAGCAAGTCCTTCCCTTTCCCTTCCTGCCTCCCCCAACCATTTTATTTCCTTCCATTTAATACAATTTAGAAAAAAAAAAAATTCTTTACTGTTTTTTTTTTGCCTTTGTATCTGATTCTTTTCATATCTCCGGCTCTGACTTATTTTTGAAGTTAGTTTCGATGTGCGTTTCGCTTCATCTTCTCCCTTTTCTCCGCCGTCGATTTCCTTTTCTTCTTTTTCTCTTTCTATTTCGTTACGTTTTTTTTTTCCTCTGTTTTTTTTATGAAGTTGAAGAATGATTGTTTCCTTCCTTTTCTCTCCCTTTTGTCTCTTCCATTTTCATGGAATTCCTTTCATCAAGGTATATTTTCCTCTCTCTGTCAATACTTTTAAATAATAATGTTGCTTATGTTGGATATTAATGAGAATTCATTTTTTTTCTCATATGCTAATTGTTAAGCAGTGACTTGCTGTAATTTGAAATTAAAACAGAGCTTAGAAAATAATTTCGATGGGGAAACACGATGATGGACGCTCTGTTTTTCCTTTAACAAGTCTCCAGATCGGGTAATTTATTAACTTTTTTAGTTTTATTATTTCTTTTGAGAAATTTTAGTTTTATTATTTGTATGCATTTTCTAAGTTGAATTTCATGAAGTTAAAATTTTTGGCTTCAGTTACCAGTTTATATTTATCCATTAATATTATGAATAAGATTCTTCATACATTTTCATTTTCTGATTACCGTTTCTTGTGAGATTAAATGATTATTTTTATATGGTAATTTTGTATGTTTCTAAGGACTTTCTTTATAGGATTATTATATCAGAATCAGATGAGTTAATCAATGGATTTCTACTACTGGCCCTTGAGATAATCAATGGAAATGTACTCTTAAGGACTTGCTTTATGGGAAAATATCAGAATATGAGAGTTATTGTCAGGGTTTTCTGCCTTTCTTATCTCTTATGAAATTTTGTTGTATAATGTCTGATTGCAGAGATTTGCAGTCTTATCTTTCTGATCTTAGCCTTTTCCTGGCCCTTGAAAGTAAAAAATTCTACATTTTGGTGGACAACCGGCCATGGCTCTGGGATTTGGGTTCACGGTCTGCTCTCTTGTGGCAATTGATGATTACCAAGGTTGTTGAATACACCTTTTTATTTTTTGATATATATATATGTGTGTGTGTGTGTGTGTGTGTGTGTGTGTGTGTGTGAATGTATTTTATGGTAAGAAGATTATAGTTGAAATTGAGTCATTCTTTATCTATTAACAGTCCAGGTTATCTCCTTTTGCTAATACCAAAGGTCGTAGGGATAAAAAGGAGGGAAAGGAAGCTTCTTCCAAATCAAATGCTAAAGATTCCAAGAAGTTTGAGAGATGGTTCTCTTTGATTGATGCTGCAACCTTGTCCAAAAAAAGGGTTTTGCTACCTGTTAAGAAATTGAGAACCTCTTTGCTTCTTAGCAGCGAGTTGCATAGGACATTGTATGGGTTTATTGTATTTGAAGTCACATGGTCCAATGTTCGAGGTCTTAACTACTTGAATGAGCTTCAGGTATTTGCTCTTCTATATGCTCTAACTTCTTGTTTCTAGTTCACCATCAAGTCTTTGTATTCATCTCTTTTCTTCTTATTTGCAGACCGATACCTTTCTAGCCATAGAGGCTAAATTCATGCGAAGATGGGAGTTTGACAGCATTGATCAAGCAGTAAGCTGTATATCTTTATGGTTCTCCGGAACTTTCTCAGAGCAGCTTCGTTTGAAAGAGTACCTGGATTCAACAATCGGTATGTTTTTGCCTTCATATTTGAAGATACTAGGAGAGAAGTTATCTTTATGATTCTTGACTTTTACAGAATAACCTTTACTTAGCATTTATATCTTTCTGGACACAAGAAACTGTTGCAATTTTAGAAATTGCAAACTGGAGATGCATGTTTGCCAGAGCCCTATAGTGTTGTTAATAGTAAAGTATATTTGATTAATTTACAAGTCTCGCCAGGTTTAGTACAATTGATGGAGGACTAAATCAACCTTTAAAAGTCTATAAGTGAATGATTCCTATTCAAATTTATAATAGAGAAAACCAGTTGAATGTTATTTTGATAATTTTTACCAAGGGATTTGGTTAACCAAAGTCATGTCAGACTTTATGGTTTCAGTAATATTCGCTCATAATTTCTCTACTTTGCTCTACTACACTCTCTATTCCCTGACAAGGGAAAGGAGAGTTGTTTACTTTCATCCATTCTTATCAGCTTCCCTCTCATTTACTCTACTCTCTGTTCCATTTGAACTAAAAAAAACATTGTTAACAATGGAGAATTCTAGTTGTTGTAAGTTATAGGAGGGATGGACCTAGCATTTCCTTTGTTGTCAACAACCTAGAGTAACCTCGTTAGAACCTCTGTACAGAAGATTATAATCTTTCACTTTTAAGTAATTTTCAGAAGGATAGCTCAGTTATATTGTTCAAAGAGTGGTGAGAAGCCAGACCATGTCCTACCTCAAGCAATGTTACTCTCTTTGGCCTTTCACTGTCATTATCTGTGGGGTTTAGCTTCTGTTTTCTTAAAAAAATTTTCTAAGGTTAGCCATTGTTTGAATCCTTTATTAAGGTATTACGCTGTATCAACAACTGTCTATAACCCTGTCTACAAATTCTGTAGAAAAGTCTACGATGAGTTGGCATTTGCATACCCTAAATTGTGACCAATGGAATATGAATTTTCCATGTAGTTGCCTTTTCCTAAAAGTTGGCCTTTGGTATTTGATGGTCTAGGTTTGCCATAGCTTTATACTTGCACAAAAGCGTTATTGAGCCTGCAGTGTCTGAAACTTAACAGGCACTTAAAAATGAGTCTAGTTTGCCTATGTTGGTAGTAACTAGTTTGCCTATGAGAGCATGCTAGAAAGGAACGTGGACACCTGAAAGGAGTCATCCTTGTGTACATGTGTTTCCAATCTTGTACTGTTTTTTTGAAAGCTGATATAGTCAAACCTGCAAATCCTCGTATCTTTTAAATGTGCTTAAATAGAAATGTCCAGTTATTTTGGCTTAGGCTAATATGATCTTTTAGGAATGACCTTAAACATGTCAGTTCTCTACAGTATTGCTGAAAAAAGGGCTTTGATATTATGACCTGTATGTTTGCTTTTCGTTTGAATATGTACACGTATGGTTGATTATTAATATTTTCTATGCTATTCCTGCATTTGTCTAATATACTTAGACGGTGCTAATTCTATGCCTTATAAATCAGTATTATAAATGTTATTTGCTTCTTGGTTGCATTGAGGTTTTGTGCCCTTAAGTCTCTGACATGCTGAAAACAGCTCATTTAACATTGATCTGATCACCTGCAGCAGATTCCATTATGCCCCTTGCATGACGTAGTAAAAGGGTGAAGCTACCATTATGTCTGTCCACTGTGATAGGTACAAAATTTTGCTTGGAAAATGGTTAAATAATTACTGGATGCTTTCAATTGGTTGTCTGCATATCAATCGATGTATTCACCATAATTTATATTTCATTGGTGGACACTTCCCTTTTTCTCTTTCTTTGATAGCATAGCTTTTCACTTATAAGAAATTTGAAATATGAACTTTGACTTGGTGCATATTGAGTTTGCTGTTTACACATGATATCCCTTCGAAGCCTGAAGCTACATCATGTCACTATTTCTTTTTTCTCAATGAAATAAATTTGCAGTGCAGAAACAGTATTAATCTGGATTATTTTTAGGTGAGGTCTTCTATGATGCTGAAGAAGATTTTCCAAGGCTAATCGGTTTTGATGATGATAATGATGATGAAAATATCTGTGATGATAGTTTCAGCATTGAGGATAATATCTCCCATGATCATTGTGGCGATTTCAGGGTGTTCCCTGCAACTGTAGACTGTGAAACTTTTGAGCCACACACTCCTCCTCCTTCTGGGCCTTATAAGAGAAGGAAAGTAACTAAGGCTATTAGTACTGGAGTTGAAGTTGATGTCTATTGTGAGGAAACCCAAAGGCAAGCTGAAAACTCATTAGACAACTCTAATGAAAATGCAGTTGAAGCTACAGAGTACAGGGATGTTCTTATTTTGTTTAGATTTGATGATAGAGATCTCCCATTTAAATTACAGCAAATAATAACACCTGATCTGAGGTTACTTCGTTTACTAGAGGCTGGTCTTCCATCTTGGGTCATCTTCCTTCAATCATATCCTGGCTTTTGCCATATCTATCGCCCATGGATGTGCCCTCTGGCCAGAGCTCTATATGTTTTGATTTCAATCATTACCGTTCTAATAGGATTTTATGATTTGTACAAAAATGTTCCTGTTCTTAAGGCAACCGCTTCACGTTTATGTGGGCCACTTTTTGATTGGATAGAAACCTGGGATATGGCATCGAGGATCAAGTACTTGGGAACTATGCTATTTCTACATAACTTTCAGAAGGCTGTGAAGTGGTTTTTGACGTTTACTCGTGCTGTTCGGTCATTTTTCTCTTTTCTTCATGTACCACTGGCAGAACCATTTATGGAAATTTTGGGCTTCCTGTTACCAATTTGGAATACGTTCAGTGAAGTATTAGAAAGCTTCTTTTCAGTCATATGGATTGTGATCAGTTCTTTCTACAATCTAGTGGAGGATCTCATAGAGGTTGTACTGATGCCTATATGGTTTATTCGTTTAGTTCTATGGAATATCGGTAGGTCATCAGATGATTGAAATTCCAATCTATCTCCTTATTTGAGGGCATTGATTCAATACATTAATTATCTTCATTTTTCTTATTTCATGCTACTGCAGCAATTTTCGTCCTGTATCCTATATTTTGGATTCTTTGGGAAATGCTATATGCCCCAATACGCCTGGTCCTTGCATTAGCCAGTTTTGTGGCTTTTGTGTGTGGCTTCATTTCTAATTTGGTTGGGGATATATGGCAGACTTTAAGTAGCATAATTCGGCTCGCTTCGGCTTCTGAAGCAACAGTGAGCACTTACGAAGTTTCCATATGGCGTTCACTTTGGAATGACCTTTTTTCCCAGGTTAGAAGGGATTACCGTAACCTGATAAATATGTCTTTCTTTATGTTTATTTTATTTTTTTTCTTTGATCTTTTCAGGTTTTTCGTGCTGTCAGAAGTATATTAAATGGTTTTGTTGCCTTCTTCACAGCCTGCAACAGACATCGCCTAAGGTGTCTCTTTTTAACTTATCCCTTTCTTTTTTTTGTCATAGTTATTTTTGGTTGTATGAACCTGTCATATAGATTTAAATAGAGAGCTAGGCATGCTCTTGCATACGCATTAAGCATGCAAGCATCTACCCAATTTCCTCCAACATAGCCCACTTCTGAAATGATTTTTTTTCTACTAAAATTTAGCGGTAGTAATTATGTAAGTTTCATGGAAGTTAGGTACCATTCTTTTTATCCATCCTGTTTAGCTTAGGATATATGGTTGCTTCTACCTTTGTATTGGGAAAAGATTTATTTTAAGTGAGAAGGATGAAGTTGAATTACCCCCTGAAATGAGTGGAAAAAAGTCGCAATTGATTTTATTAGTATAGAGCTGAATTAGATTATGGCTTTTCTAATAATGAAGGAAACCAGTTTTAATTCCCTTGGAGCCGAAAGATCTGCTACTAATATCATACTCAAATAATTTTGGTTTTATGATCCATCATTATGATAGCTTCCCTTTATTTCACAAGTGAAGATAAATGACCTACTTTAACTCTTTATGATTAGAGTATTAGTTCTTCATTGCATACACATTTTTAACTGCTTTATCAGTGGACATTGGGTTCATGAGAATAACTTTGCACTTTTTCCCTGCATAATCAGTTATCACCGTAAAAAATTGCTTTGTAATTTTCCCATAAGAAAATATTTTTAGCAAATCTACCATCTACCATTCAATGAAAATTAGCTACATGTACTATAGCTAACTTTACATAAGAAGCCTCCAGCTTGCATATTTTTTGCTTTGGATGTAATTAAAATGACTTTTAAGCTTTTTGGGCTCTTGGCAAGAAAAATTGATTTGTTGGGTTTTAAATCTTTTGATTTGTTAGGTCAGATAGCTTTTAGTTTTTTGTATGAATTTCATGTATTTTTTATGTCTTTTATTTTTAAATATTTACAACAAAAATATTATCAAGTATACATATTAGTTCGATAAATTTATATTTAAAATAGATTGAAAATTTTGGATCTTTTGATGAAAGAAAAAAAAGATGAATTGAAAAGCAAAAAAGAATTATAAGAATGAATTTTAAAATAGATATTGTCTTTGCAAATTTTTATAATTTATAATAATTATTTTTAAAACTTATTAAATACAAATGTTTATTGATTTATACTTTTAAAAGTAAAATATTTTGGAACCTCCCAAAGTGAAGCTCTACTAATTAACTTTTGAAGTTGCGGATAATATGGTCATTTATTAAGATTGATATATTATTCTTCTATGTTTATTGCTATATTCTTGTGATGATATACCAATATGTTATTATTACTTATGCGAGTTGTTTGGGATACTTTTCTTCTACTTGTATTTACAAACTTCAACTTCCTTAGAATAATAACCAAATAAATCCTTGAATTTTACTCAAAAATAAAAATAAATCTTTGATATTTTATTGCATGAAATTAAGCTTGTGAACATTGAATATTTTATAGCGTTAATGTTTTAATTACTATAAAATAAAAGTTTATAGCCTTAATTTCATGCAATAAAAATTGAAAATTTATACGCATTTTTGAATTAAGTTTGGGTATTATGCGAATTCCTTTAAGTACCCCACTAGCTAGGGCAATGATAGAATGATAACACCCAGGCTTTTTGTATATTCTGCAAAAGGATCCACTTTTGACGCTTGAATGTCAGATTCTATAAGTTTAAACTTTTTCTTCACGAAACTCAAGTGTTTGTTTTACTTACACGATCATTTTGGTGCTGCAATGCTGTACAGCATTTATAATCATGTACAGGATTTTATTCAAAGACCATTTGGTGGAGTCCCAAGATCACAAACCTCAGATCCTAGACCTAGTAAATCAGCGCGTGGAAATCGATATACTGTAAGCCCTCATATGATTGATCTTTGTTTAATCCATAGCTCTCATCTCCACATTGATATCGCATCATATGGTAGACATGAAATTTTTAGTTGCTACAGCTGCACACAAGAAATTCATTAATTCATTGTGTGCTATAGATGCAATCAACTATCCGGTATATGCAACTCCTTGAGCTGATTTTGTTTGTTATGGTTTTGCAGTCGGAAGTAAGGAGGAGAGTCCACGATAAATCGAGCCCTTCCACATTGTCATTTTGAGTTTAAAAAATGCAAGAAGGTATCATTGATCTGGAGAGAGGTAATATTCCGATGCAAAAATCTTTTTAACTAGCATAATCGAAAGCTAACTGTAAAGGAAAGGGAAAGAATGCGCAGTTGGATACTGAATTACTATTTATAGGATCCAAGTGAAAACATGAAAAGAAAAATACCACGTGTAAAGGTTAGAGATAAATTCATTCTTTTATTCCCTCGTGTCTGGGAAGCTGCCTATTCTCTCTCTATGCTTAATAACTTTAGCTTCTTTTTCTTTTTTGCTCTGTTCTCCATTGCATCTGTATCTAAAGAGTCAGCTTCTGGTGTGTAAATATTATGTACAGTTTATTTGTATATTTATCCAAATAAAAATTGTTGGAAAGTTTTGAATTTAAACGTATTTTGAGTGTTGATAAATGTTCCTTTTTTGTAGATTCAATGATTTTGTTCTTGCTATTTGTTGAAGTCTTCAGTAATGTTTCATTTCTTCAGCTATATTTTAGGTTTTGTGGCTGCTGCCCCGTTACATGCTATCATGAGGGGATGCAATTTATCTAATGATTTTAGAGGCGTTTGGTTCGCAAATTTTTAAATTAAAAAAAAAAAGATTTTGGAAAAGGGTAATATTAAGATGGAAAAAGTGACATTGTTAACTTAGAAAATAAAAGATTTTTATATTTGATTTAGAATAATATAAGATTAATTAATAAAATTTTTTATTATATTATCTTCGATGATACGTGAATAATATGGCAATCATAACATGATATATTTATTAAAATTAAAGAATTTTCAAAAAATTGTTTTAAATATTTTTAACAAAGATAATTTTTAAAAGTACGGTTTCTTTTTTAACATTTACTATGATGAATATTTAAAAAAAATAATTTTTGTTAAAATTTTAAAAATTTGAAAATATAGTTTTAATATTAAATATAATTTTTATCTTAAAAATAATTTTTGTTAAAATTTTGAAAATATAATTTTAGCATTTATTAAATTTTTATCATAAAAATGTAAATTTTTTAATGTCTATTACGTTTTTTATTTTAAAAACGTTTTTATCTTTTAACATTCATTATGTTTTTTATCTGATAAATATAATTTTTGTTAAAATTTAAGAATTAAAAAAATATAGTTTCGATATCTAATCTTTATTAAAATTTTAATTTCAAAAATATATTTTCAACATTTATTATGTTTTTTTATTTTAAAAAAGTGATCTTTTTTCAACATTCTTGAATTTCAAAAATATAGTTTAAACAATCACTATGTTTTTTATTTTAAAAATACAGTACCTACTAAAATTATAAATAATAAAAATCACATGTGCTTTATAATTTTAAGAGACTAGAAATGAAAATATAATCTTAAAATGTAATTGATGATAAATGAAATAAAACTTTTACAATTTTTAAAGACTAGAAATGAAAATATAGTTTGAAAATATAATGAAGGTTAGTGAGGCAAAATTTTTACTTTCCTTTCATAATTAAAAAACAAGGAAATGAGAGTTTTTTTTATTTTATTTTCTCTTTCCTTTTTGGCACTACTATAAATTTTAGAAAATTTTAAAAATTACATCTTGTGAATCAAACAAAAAATAAATTTACGAAATAAAAATTTTAACCAAAAATCTTATTTTCTCTCAAACCAAATGTGCTCTTAGAAATAATTGTCTCTGACGAGAGCAATGCCGCATGTGAGATTTTTTAATTTTATACAATAATTTTAAAGAGAACAATATTATTATAAATAATTATAATAATAGCAATAATAATGTAAAGATAATATTTTTAAAATATTAACTTTAAAAATTAAAAAATATTTAATTTATTCAATTAATCATTTTATTAATTTTTAAAATAATTTAATAAACTTAATTCATGCAAAAAATAGAAATTATATATAATTTAAAAATTTTAAATTACTATATTTGAACCAAATTCACAAAGCCTAATAAAAATTCATATTGTCTTATCCTCTACCAATTTTTCTTTTTCTCCTGTCAGTTTTTGGCAATTTAATCCTAAAGCCATCAATTTCACATACTACATCTTTTTTATGATCTTTGATATTTAAATTCAACGAAAATTTTTAATTTGTAGATTTATTTTTTTAAAATTGCTTTCTTCTTTTTCTATGTTTGATTGTGTTGTTATTTTAAATTGTAGATTTATCTTTTAAAATTTAAAAATTACGTGGACTCAATCACGTATTTATAGACATTATATGTATATTTAAATATAAATTAATTCAAGCATGATCCTTCACCAAATCATGGAGGGTAGTAGCACACATATGCTGCATATATATAATTTATTTAATATATTAACTGAAAATTTTAACTCTACAAGTAGGATTAAATTTTTATATATTTTTTAACCATTAATTTCAATATATATATATATATATATATATATATCCAGATGAAAGATCTACTTACACTACTACAAGTTTTAATTTTTTTTAACTTTAAATCAAAACGATTAAAATTAAAAATATTATTTTAATTTTAATTAATTATCAATTTAATTTTGATCTAAAGATAAAAAATGTAAAATTTACACTAGTGTAAATTAATCCTTATATATATATATATATATGAAGATAAAATAAAAATCTGACAATTTGAAGTTTATTAATAACAATTTACTTATACCTTAATATAGAGATCAAAGTAAATAAAAGTTAGTCAATATTTAATTTAATAAGAAAAATATCAATTAAAGAAAATTTATTTTTAGAAGGACTTCAATAATAATAAGAAAAGAAATAAACTTAGTTAATATTTTAATTAATAAAAAATTATTAATTAAGAACAAAATAGTTACTTTAATAAATACCATGTAATAATCCAATTACTAGTATCTTAAACAAAAGTCTTCAACTTGGTCTATCATGTCCATGATTGTTAAGTACTTTTATATATTAAGAAAACCTGTGTAGAATGTAAATAAATTCATTGCAGGCCCCTTCATGGAATAGGATGATATTGATGGATGTCGAATTATCTTCACATGATTCAAGTATTTAAAATGTAGAGTTGATTGCTGAATTGACGATGCATGTGTCATGGGCCGGGAGCTTAAGCATTCTTCCCGGTGCTTCACCTGCATCATCTTGAGTAAGTCCTGTCACGCGACCTTCTAAGTCTAGGATTCATGTACGGTCTGTGATATATGCTGATGGTACAACTAACAAAATCATATCAAAATAATTCCCCTCCCCTTAGAGAAACGGGAAGTTGGGACATATAATATATACATACATACATAGAGATAAAGTCACATAGAGGTCCACTTCAATCCCCACATACATGGATGTATACATAAATACATTGATACCTCTGCTGTCCTCTAATCTAAAGCGGCCCCAGCGTTTTTGCTTTGTTTTCCTTAATGCCAGACATCACTCTGCCTCATTGAAGTAGTTCCTTACCATCTTCTGTCGCTTCCTTTGATTTAGACTATAAATTTCACTTGAACTGGCGCATGTCTAAAATGCCATATATATATATATATATATATATATACACACATATATAAAACTTGGTCAGTTTCACATTGAAGGAAAAAACAGATGGTACTTTATATCATAGGATTAAGGTAAGTTCTTACCTCATCTAATGCTGTCATTGCCATGCATTGCTCTTCTTCCTCCAGTGGAAGTTTCAAAGCTTTTGTCAGCTTCTGGTAGGTAGCCTGCATGCTTCTCTTTGCCTGCCCCACATCATTGGCAACATCTAAAAGAAAAGTCTCAAGCTTCCCAATTTGAAGGAGCATGTCCTTAACATGGGAAGCCACTTCATGGATTGGCTCAATATAATTGCTAGAGGGAGTTAAGGTCGCAAATTCTTCTACATGGATGCCGGATATATCATCTAGACATTTCTCAATGTTTTTATGAATGGTTGGCACTTGTAGGTTGCAGTAATCTTGGACAGTTGACTCCACTCGTGCAACTTTTGATTTACACTGAATAAATTCCATCACGTACTGGGCAAAAGGTCCATATTCAATTGACAGATAAGCCAAAGCATCAAAAGTAACATTTGCAGCCTGTAGCATGGTATCATGATCAGGTGGCTCCATTGACTCCAAATGTGTCAGAAGGTCGTTCTGAAGCTTCTTTCCAATCTGCTTCAAGATTGAAGTTGTTGCATCTTCCTGCACAGCAGTGATCGATCTTTTGAGGCTTGAAGTCCCCAAAGGAACACCCAACAGTCGAGTATCATTTGTGAGAGCATTTTTTGATAATTCATCAGCTTCAGCATTTGCGGAAGCACGAGGTATTATACTTGAACTTCCACTATCAGAGATATTCACATATTCAGAAATTAATATTGGATCAAACGAAGGGTATATACCTGTTTAAAAAATAAGGCTAAAAGTTATAACATGAGATTTGGAGGAAACAAACATCTTATGTCTAGAACAATACTTACAGCAAAAGAAATGACTAGGAGGAGGATCTGCTAAGATCCGAGGAGGAGGGAGAGGGAAAGCAAGCCGACCCATCCAACCATGGACATCTAAATCCAAAATTTCAAGAACTTTACCTGTAACCGAAACAGAAAACGTTTACCTGATTTTGACAACAGAGACAGCGAACACGATAACTAACGAAGAGCGAAACAGCTGCAATGAATACATCATAAAGCAATGACTAGAAGAAATAAGATACTCCCAGTAATTCCTACATGCATTTGGTGAATTCCCAGCAGCAGATATCTGGTTCCAGAACTCTACTTGACGGAAATGAATATCAGACTGAGACATTAGACGGGAAACACGGTGTCCTTTCCCCATCACAAGATTGCTCGTCTCCGCTTCAGGAACAATTATGTTTCTGTTAGAGAAATTGGGGATGGGGCATTCATCCTCGTGAGTCATAATACTTGGTGGCTCACCATGTTGTGGGCTAAATATTGATGGTCGTTTATCTTTCTCCATAGACATTGGCACTGTAATGAAATTCGGAGAATTTTGAGGACTGTCAAACTGCAAGAAACCACAAGCTCCATGCCCCTGTGTTAGAGTAGTAGTAACTCTTTAGCAGACTCCAGTCAAAACATTTGCATCAACAATCATTTAGAAATGAAAAAAGATAAGATACATATTTCAGCAACACTCTTCATATGCTGATCAATCCCAAGGGCCAGGAAAATAAGAAAGAACAACAAATGTAAAGGGATTGTACACTTCTACATCTCCTTTTCAATCTTTGCTCTCTACATGTGAATGCAAAGATTCAAAACCTTTCGATGCCAAAATAAAACTCTGATACCCAGAATCATTTTAAAAGTAAGGAGTTATTTCCATTCTATACATGTAACTTTTCATGCATGCACCAGCCTTTCTGCATAAGCCTTTTGCATGAGTGGGAAAGACAAACTACGTAATATCTGAATGTGATGCAAAAAAAAAAAACCAAGAACTATAAAATTTCAAAATCTTACACCAACAAACATAATACAATACAATTTGCAAAACACAAGCAAAAGTCTTCACTGTCAGATGAAGGATGTGAATGTTCATAGATAGTTTCATATCGCCAAAATTTTTTCTCAAAATTTCTTTCCAAGCACAAATGTAATGCAAAAGTCTATTTTCAATCTTCAGAGAAGGCCTAGAAAAGCCGTGGAGTGAGTCAGAGAAAGAATCCTTAGACACAAAGTCAAGGCAAATTGACATCTAGATCGAGCGCACTATATTTGTAGCTCAATCTTTTTAACATATTACCTAAAAGTATGTAACCAATCAGTCTCATTCAAATAGAAAAAAAATTAACCAAAAATGGTCAGGCCTGTGCTTCTACGCATGTATGGGTATGCGTGGCAATTATATGAATCACATATCATAGAGATTCTGAAATTAGTATCTGATTTCTGAAATTCGAATGAAGGAATCCAAAGATCCAACATTTCATCCCAACCATAGATATGTGACAGGACAATTCAGTGGCTCCCTGATGACAGATCTTCTTTCAAGATGCTTCAAATGACAGTTGGTCAGAGAAACAGGGCCATCAAGGTTGAAACAAAACCAAACCCAATTGACATTAAAATGTTTTTGATCCAAACTGATAAATGACTGCACGTGATGAGCTTGATAGAAAAGAGCCGCAACATTATGGCAAAACATAGCAGGAAGTCGAAAGCTTACCATAGAAGGGGTAAATACAAGAAGGAAGATGGTGATGTCAGTTATTAATCTATTAGCTAGTAATGCTTTGCAACTTTTTATTTTTTATAATTTTGTAAGATAGTTCCACAATAATTGTATTTAACTAATTTATGGCTGTAATTGATTTTCAAAAATGAAAAAATAATTTTTCTTTTGAATATCTCTCTATCCTTTTCTTTGGGTCCTCAATTCTTCTCTATTCTCTCTTTAGTCTTTTCAATTCTCTTTTGTTCTCTTCTTAATCTCTAAAACTCTAATCAGGTCACAATTAAGTCATGACAAATTAGTATCAGACCCCGTTGCGATCTCATTTCAACACTGGGAAAAAGTAGGAAACAACTCTCCATGGCTGAAGGTAACACAGACCTCTATGTCAAAACTATGGGAAGTTTAAAAAAAGGAGTTGGAAATCACTGAAATTCACAACAATTTCACCAAGATGCTGGAATACTTACTGCAGAAAGGGAAATCTCCAACCCAACTAGATCTAGGAGTAAAGGAGGATGTTGTTAGTTCTCATTTGGCTCATTGGTGCAAACCAAAAGAAAGGTAAGAATCCTATTGAGATAACTATTATTGATGAACATAATAAGTTTAGTTATGGGCTTGATGATCTAGGGTTACAACCAAAACTTCAACAGGACAGTAACCTTAATAATATACATAATAGCGTAATGGTAGACAAACATATTGAAGCTTCATCTGGAACTAACAACCCCTAGGCTTAAATGCTTTTACTCATCGGCCAAAAATTGAACTTCCATTATTTGAAGGCGAGAATCGTAGATGATGGTTAAGAAAATTTCAAAAATATTTTATCATTTTTGGAGTGTCAGATCATTAGAAAATGGAGATAGTTGCTATGTATTTAGCTGGTAGAGCAAAAATCTGGTTTGATGGTACTTGATGCAGAAACCAAGATTTACATGGCATGAATTTTCTAATGATCTCTGTCAAAGATTTTGTGACAAGACCTGTTTAAATGTGATTGGAGAATTCAACAAGCTGACTTAAAAGAGCACAGTGAAAGGATATCAAGAGAAATTTGAAAAGCTCAAGCCATTCATGCTTCAGAATAACCACCATTTGGATGAGTTATATTTTGTATCCAGTTTTATAAGTGACCTAAATGAAGATCTTAGTTAAGACTAGTGAGCCTCGGACTTTGGTAGCAACCTATAAGCAAGTTAAGTTACACTAGCTAGCCTTGAAAGTTGAATGCAAAACAAACAGACCACCTACTAAGCCCAGTTCTAATAATAAAAACTATAATACTTTTAAGAACCCTTATAACCCTTGCTCCCAACCACAAATAGTAACCTCCAATACAATATCAGCTACACAAAAGCAAATTCTCCTAGAACAATAAAGATTGCAAAACCTGTGCTTTAAATGTGATGAAAAATTCTTTACTAGCCACATTTGCAAGAACAAACAATTGAACTCCATCATGGTAGAGGAATTTTCAAAAGAAAAGAAAGATGATGAAGAAGTAGTTGATAATAGTCAGGATATCCACAATGAAGGATACCAAATGGATGTAATTTGGAAATCTCTATTAATGCTCTAATAGCTAGCACTGGGTACAACACGCTTAGGATAAAAGGGAATGTGAGAGGGAAACCTTTGAATATACTTATAGACAACGAAAGTACTCATAATTTTGTGACTCCCATATTGGCTAAGGATGGGAAGGAGTTGACGGATATTGATCCTTTGGCTATAACTGTGGCAAATGGTGAGAGGTTGAATAGTACAGCCAAATGTAAATAGCTTGAATGGATAATGCATGGGCATAAATTTACTCATAATCTAAGAGTTTTGGCACTAAGAGGTTGTGACATGGTGATTGGAGTTGATTGGATGAGAAAATATAATCCTCTTATATTTGATTTCAATGACATGTCAGTGAGTTTAAAAAAAAAAGACAAGAAGTTACATTAAAAAATGGTCCCAATAAAGCTAGCCTAAAGCTTATTTTTGGAGATAAATCACAGAAGCTAGCCTGCAAAGATCCTGAGATGTTGGGGGAAATGTTCATGATCAGTGGGGAATGTGATCATGTGGAAACACCAATTGTGCTTAAGCTAATAATAGCTTCCTATGAGAACATATTCAGGGATGCTATAGGATTACTACCAGAGAAAGTGCAATATCATAGCATACCCTTGAAACCAAGCTCTTAACCTGTTAACCTAAGACCTTACAGATTCAACCATTATATTGAAAGAAAAATAGTAGAAATGTTGTCTTTCTCTATCATACAAACCAGCAAAAGCCCTTTTGCTTCTTCATGTTTGTTAGTTAAGAAGGATGTCACCTGAAGGATGTGTATTGACTACAAACAATTAAATGCAATGATAATGAAAAATAAATTCCTTATACCTATAGTGAAAGACCTTCTGGATAAGCTGAAAAGAGACCATTACTTTTCAAAAATAGAACTTAAATAAAGATACTAGTAGATAAGGGTGAAAAAAGATGACATTTATAAGATAGCTTTTAAAACTCATCTGAGAGATTATCAGTTTAAGGTAATGCCATTTGGACTTACCAATGCACCTGTAACCTTTCAGTTTCTCATTAATGATATATTTGCTCCTTATTTGAGAAAAATTAAGCTGGTATATTTTGATGATATTCTTGTCTATAGTTTTAATTTGAGAGAACATACAAAACATTTAAACATTGTATTTGTAATATTGAAAAAGAACATACTATGTGTAAAAAGAAGTAAGTGTTTTTTTGGTCAAAGATAGGTTGAATATTTAGGGCATATCATATCAACTGAAAGAGTATCTACAGATCCTGCTAAGATAACAGTAATGCAAAACTGGCCACAACCTACGAGCCTTAAGTTTTTTAAGGGATTTCTTGGATTGATTGGATATTATAGGAAGTTCATAAAAAGCTATAAGGAGATCAATAAGCCACTGAAAAATATGCTTAGAAAGAATGTGTTCAAATAAACATCTGCAGTAATATCAGTTTTCAATCAACTCAAGGAGGCCATGTGTTCTGTCCATGTCCTAGCATTGCTTGATTTCAAAAAACCTTTTATGTTAGAAACTGATGCTAGCAACAATGGGATTGGAGCTATTTTATCCCATGATGGAAAGCCAATAGTTTACTTAAGCAAGGTTCTAGGTACTAGACATAAAGACCTTTCTATTTATGAAAAAAAGTATCTTGCCATAGTAATGTCAGTAAAAAAATAGAGACATTACTTGGAAGGAAAACCATTCATTATCAAGATAGATCATGAAGCCGTAAAATATTTGCTTGAGTAAAAGTTAACCACTACCATTCAAAAAAGAAGACTAACCAAATTACTTGGGTTGGATTATTCTATAAGGTATAGAAAGGGCAAGATGAATATAACAGCAAATGCCCTATCCAGGCAACATAAGGAGGAAGCACAAAGCTATAGCTTACAATCCATTGCATTTATACCAGAGTGGGTGAAGGAGATCAAGTATAGCTATAATGGTGATGCAATGGCACAAGAGCAAATTAAGGCTTTTATCATCCATCCTCTTGATAATTCTCACTATTCATTTAGTAATGGAGTTTTAATATTTAAAGAGAAAGTGTATGTAGGTAATAGTGGGCAGTTAAGGGAGAAAATTTTGCGAGCCTTGCATGATTCACCTCAAGAGGGCATTCAGGATTCAAGGCACCTACCACAGATTTAAAATTGAATTTTTATTGGCCTGGGATGAAAAAATAATTCCGTGAGTATATCAACAGTGTGATACCTGTCAAAGGAACAAAAATGAGCATGTTCTTTATGTTGGTCTTTTACAGCCAATTCCTATACCATAACAAGCCTGGGATGTAATCAGTATGGATTTTGTTGTAGGGTTGCTCTTATCTAAAAAATTTAGCTATATTATAGTGATAGTGGATAAATTCACTAAGTATAGTCACTTTCTTTCTTTGTCTCATCCTTTTACAACTATAGAATTAGCTAAAATATGTCTCAGCCAAGTTCATAAACTACATGAGACTCTAAGAATTGCTATTTCTAATAGGGATCTAGCCTTCACTAGTTTATTTTGACAAGAGTTGATGAAATTATTGGAAACCACAGTTCATCTGAGTATAGCTTATCATTTAGAATCTGATAGGCAAATCGAGAGGGTTAATCACTGTTTGAAGTAGTATTTGCAATGTATGTATTTTTTCAAACCTAAAAGTTGGGTTTAATGGCTACCGTTAGCCAAATTGTGGTATGATACAAGCTATCACACTTTTTTGAGAATGTCTCTATTTCAGGCTTTGTATGATATAAACTACCAGCTTTAGCATGGGATGCCAGTTGTCATAATATATAGATTCGAAAATCTATAGTTAGATTTATCAAATGAATAGAGTAGCCACCAATATTTTTTACTATGTGTGATTGGTCACCTAAGGAATCTATCATTTTAAAGAACTCCTAAGCTTGACTAAGGGTCCCTAAAAAATAAGTTTAGGTCTACTAACCAGAATAGGGTTCGGGAGTCGATTACATATGAAAATGTTATAGCACCTCCACATACTCATCCGAAAGATGGTACCATATTATTTCGAATTTATCTTAAAGTATTGAGTCTAATGGTTTCAAATTTTAAGTTACATGTTGAAAACAATTTTTAAAATTTTCCATTAATCTGATATAACTCATTAAAAAATATTTTCTCACCTCAAGAGTATTCAAGAATTTCATTCATTTATTTATTTAAAGAGGCTCCGTCATTGGAAAAAGGTTTAATTATTATTAGTCGAAAATATATCTAATTATTTCACCATTTGGGCCAAATTAGAAATATTTTTTCTTTTTGAATTTTTAAAAATTTTCACCATTTGGGCCTATTTAGAAATTCTTTTTATTTTTTCTTTGGAAAGAAAATAATATTACAATCACTTTTATTGAAAATTTTCATCTAAATTATTACACAATTTGAGCTAAATTTAGAGAAAATTTCTCACCTAAAATTTTTTAGAAATTTACCATTTAAAATTTTTAAGAATCTCATCCTTAGATAATTATCAAATATTTTCAATCCAAATTTTTATTTAGAAAAAAAATACAATTACTTGTATTAAAATTTTATCTAAATCATTTGACCATTTGGGCTAAATTTAGAGAAAATTTTTCATCTAGAGATTTTTTAAAAATTTATCATTTGAAATTTCTAAGAATCTCATCCTTAAATAATTTGTATTTCATTCCAAAATTTTTTATATTTTTATGCTTTTTATGTTTTTTAATTTTTTTTGTTTGAAAATAAATATTAATTATTGTTATTAAAATTTTATCTAAAATATTCTACCATTTGGGACAAATTTAGACAATTTTTCACCTAAGAATTTTATAAAAATTTACTATTTGAAATTTCTATAAATTTTATCATTGGATAATTAATATTTATTCCCAAAATTTTATTTTATTTTTATTTTTTATTAAATTAAATCATGTAAAAAATACTTCTAAAATAAATAAACATAAAAATTAAAAAAATAAATAAAAATACCAAAAAAAAAAAAGAAACGGCTCGGCTTGCGGTTGGGATCGATTCGGCTTAAGATAAAAATCACGGCTCAAAACACGGCTCGACTGGCAATCGACTCGGCTCAACAGTAGGATCCGTGGAGCAGGTTGAAGTGGGTCAACGCAACGAGTCGAGTCGCCCGAATGGAAACGTGCGGATCCTGAGGTTTACTAACGTCAAAACGACATTGTTTTATAGCACTATAAAAGGCAAATTTCAACCTTTTTCAGTAGATGCGTCTTTCTTCTTCTCTTTTTTCTCTTTTTTTTTTTCTATTTCTTTTCTCTAAATAGAATCCAGATTTCAGTTAAAGTTCTGTCGAAATATGGAAAACGTGCCGAAAACTTCAAAGTTGGCCTAAAAATTTCTCGAAAAACTTGAATGTCACCGAAAAATTTCACCGGATTCTAAAAAATTTCTAAAAATTTTTCAAAAAAAAAAACTCCAAAAATCCAAAAAATTTCCCCAAATTCCTAAAAATGTTTCTAACCCCTTAGAACCTTTTTTTTTTTACCACTGTTTGCTCTCTATTTCACCTCTTTATTCTTTCTGTGTTTGTTCTATGATTACTAGGTTTATTTATAGGAACAATCAAAAGAATTTTTGATTAATTTCGATTCCTTTGTTTACACTTATCCTTTTAGAAATTGAACCCAACTACAACTCTACCAATGCCATTCACGGTAAAATTTGCACAAAATTCAACCTGTTATCTCCTAAAAAAAACTAATGATAAGTCCAAAAATAAAATAAATAAAATAAAAAAATAAAAGATAAAACCAAAAAATATAAAATAAATAAATAAATGGAAGGGGAAAAATGAATGGCCAATTGGGCCAAATAATCTGGGCCCTGTTGAGCTAGGCTCAATTAATTTAGGCTTAGGCCCAGACCTTGTTAAATTAGGCCCAATGGGCTCAAGCCCGAACTAATTAGGGTGTCTACACCAGTAGTCAAGCAAAAATGACGAATGTGGAGAAATTACTGAAAGATAGAGAACAAGTCAATAGATTGATGGTTGATCAATTGAATAAAGCTCAATAGAGGATGAAATTGTATGCTGACAGGAAAAGAAGTGAAAAAGAGTTTCATGTGGAAACAAACCTCTTTGGTGCTTCGAAAGAGTTTAAAACTTTCATCCAGATATTATGGTCTTTATCCTATATTAGCCAAAATTGATTCAGTTCTTACAAATTACAGTAACCTTATACTTCTAAGATTCATCCAGTGTTTCATGTAAGTTTGTTAAAAAAAAAAGTTAAGAAATAAGATAGTGCCTAGCCTAGCTCCATCAGAAACTAATGAAAATGGACAACCGCTTGTATATCCTTTTACTATGATTGATAAACAAATGGTTAAGAGGCACAATAGGCTGCCACCCAACTCCTGGAGGTATGGTCAAATTTAGGGCCTGATAACACAACTTGGGAAGACTATACAGTATTAAAGTCACAGTTTTCAGATCTTTGGGGACAAAGATGTGGTGAAAGGGAGGTATTTGGATGAGCTTGATGTAAAAGAGCAATAGTGGCATGAATAAGACTATGGCAAAAAATTGCATGAATCACTAAGAAATGAGCTGAAAGCTTATAACAAAAGGAGTGAATACGAAAAGGAAAATGGTGATATCAGTTAATAATATATTGGGGTCAGTTATTAATTTATTGGCTAGTCATACTCTGCAACTTTGTATTTTTTACAATTTTGCACTATAATTCAACAATAGCTGTATTTAAATAATTTATGACTGTAACTAAATTTAAAAAATGAAAAAATATATTTTTTTCCTTTGAATCCTTCTTTATTCTCTTCTTAGTCTCCTCAGTTCTTTTCTATTCTCTCTTTAAGTCTTTTCAATTCTCCTATGTTCTTTTTTTAATCTCTAAAATCTTAACCAAATCACAACTGAGTTAAACACTGCAAGTTGCCAAAGCAACTTTTTGTCCGAACTATGATCTTACGTAAAAGATGAAAGCTTTAACAAAATTATTATACCCCTGCCCTTCAAAAAAGGAAAGGAGACCCACATACCATTCTAATGCGGCAAGTATAATACTTAGTATCGTTCCCATTTTGGTCTCTCTGGATGTTGATGGTGCAGGCTCCGGCGCCGCAGGTGCACATAGGTGCCTTGACATTATCGCACCATTGGAAAAATTTTCCGCCCTGGGTTGCCTGGACATTATCACAATTGCAATTACGAGTATAGTACCTTCTGCCTGGGTTGCGAGTGCTTCGAGAAACACTAATGGTGCAAGTGACACCGCAATAGCAACGCAGGACGGGCAGATGGAGGATGTCCTGTGAAGGAGTCGAGGGCTGAGATGAGGCTTTTGTTGGGGTGCTGGAAAGGCAATCCTCTGCCCAGTGACCTTGTTTACCGCACCTAAAGCATGTGTCTTTTTTCTTTCTTTCAGAAAGACTTTGGGTGCAGTGAGCACGGCTCTTGCTCTCACCTTGCCTGCCATGGTAAGGAGATGCTCTTAACGTTGGTGGAGGTGTGGCTACTGTTACTACTGGGCTTGGACACTCTTCGATAAATCTCTCACATTCACCTGCCATTGTCATTTTGGTTCTTCCTCAAAGAAACGCACTCTCTCTATATGAAAGGTACACTTAGATTTACATATGTAAAAGAAAAACGCGTTGGAAAGCTTTGGCATCCTTTTATAAAGGCAAACAAAAATGCTTAAAGCTTAGGCTGCTTAGCTGAGAAGTAGTCAACAGGTTGCTTAGGACAGTTGGCTTAGTCACCCCAACTCTCCTTATTTATAATGTTCTTGTCTTTTCTCTCTCTTTCTTTTATATATATATATATATATATATAATTTTTTATTCTTTTTAATAAATCAAGATATATCTCTGATAAAAAAATTGCATCACTTACAATTATATCTTTGGGAATGCTCCAAATAACTATAGCATTTATTATCCATCAACAAACAAATGTTTGAAAGCTTTGGATTTACCCATGTTTTGAAAGTTGATAAATTTTCATTTTTTGTAGATTTTCTATCAGTCTAGTTCTTGCTATTTGTTCCGAGTCTCCACTAATATGTTATTTTATTTCTTCAGCTATATTAGGATCAAGTCACAACCAACAGAATAGCTCCTCAGGCAATGAATATATGTGCTATGTAGTTAACAACGCCATATCAAATATAATTGAATTTAATTTCCGTTCCCTCATTAGAGAAAACGGATTTTGGGATTTGCAGCACCAGTCACCTCAGCTCCTTGAAATGATTCACTTCCCTTTAAAGTTTAGACTAGGAAAGATTCAACATACATACATAATACATAATACATTCGTAGATCCGTAAATACACAGAGATACAGTCTCACATAAAGATCCACTTCAATCCCCACATACACGGTTGTACACACAAGTTCTGCTAGCAAAATATAATAGCAGTCTACATTAAATGCATCTCTACATCTTTCCTCTAATCTACAGAGGCCCTAGCTTTCTGCTGTGCTTTTCTTATTGCCAGACATCACTATGCTTCATTCAAGTAGCTCCTTACTATCTTCTGTCGTTTCCTTAGATCTAACCTGCAAATTTCACTTGAACTGGATCATGTCTAAATGCCCATATATTTTTATACTTATATATATATATATATATATACACACACACACACATACATACATATTTTCACATTAAAGAAAAAAACAGACGGTACTATATATCATATGTTTAAGGTGAATTCATACCTCCTCTAATGCTGTATTTGCCATGCATTGCTCTTAGTCCTTCTGAAGTTTCAAGGCTTTTGTTAGCTCTCGATACGCGGTCTGCATGCTTCTCTTTGACTGCCCCACATCCTTGGCAATATCTAGAAGAAGTGTCTCCAGCTTTGAAGTCTCTGTCACACAGCGATGCAATTGGTTCTCAATCTGGCAAAGCATGTCCTTAAGATGACAAGCCTCTTTATGGGCTGACTGAAGATAATTACTAGAGGCTGTTAAGGTGGCTAATGCTTCTGCATGGATGCCAGATACATCATCTAGACATTTCTCAATATTTTTATGAATGGTTAGCTCTTGTAGATTGCTGTTATCTTGGACAGTTGAATCCATTTGTGCAACTCTTGATTTACGCTGAATAAATTCCATCATGTGCTCAGCGAAAGGTCCACATTCAATTGACAGATAAGCCAAAGCATCAAAAGTACCATTTGCTGCCTTTAGCATGGTATCATGATCAGGGGGCTCCATTGACTCCAAAAGTGTCGGAAGGTGTATCTGAAGCTTCTTTTCAATTTCCTTCAAGATTGGATTTGTTACATCTTCCTGCACAGCAGTGAACGATCTTTTGGGGCTTGAAGTTCCCAAAGGAACACCCAGCAGTTGAATATCATTTCCGAGAGCATTTTGTGATACTTCATCAACTTTGGCATCTGAGGAAGTATGGGGCACTATACTTGAACTTCCCCTATCTGATATATTCACATATTCAGAAGCTAATAATGGATCAAACAAAGGGAATATACCTGTTTAAAAAAAAAAGCTAGAGTTATAACGTATGATTTGGAGGAAATGAACAAAAAGTTCATGTCTAGAATTGTACTTACAGCAAAAAAAAAGCCTAAGAGGAGGATCTGCTAAGATCCGAGGAGGAGGAAAAAGAAGCCTACCCATCCAACCATGGACATGGAGACCGAAAATGTGAGGAACTTTACCTGTCACCAAAATAGAAAACTACCTCACTGTGACGGCAGAGACAGTGAAAATGACAACTAGTGAAGAATGAAACAGCCGCAATGGATACATCATAAAGCAATGACTAGAAGAAAAATGATATGTATTCCAGTAATACCTACATTCATTTGCTGAATTCCCAGCAAGAGATATCTGATTCCAAAACTCTATTTGGCGGAAATGAATATCAGAAGGAGACATTAGAAGGGAAACATGCTGTCTAATCCCCATCACAAGATTGCATCTCTCCTGTTCAGGAACAACTATGTTTCTGTCAGAGAAACTAGGGAAGGGATATTCATTCTCATGAGTCAGAATATTTGGTGGCACACCATGCTTTGCACTCAATACTGATGGTTGTTTATCTTTCTCCATAGACCTTGGAACGGTCTGAGAATTTGGACTGTCAAACTGCAAGAAACCACAGGATCCATGTCCCTATGTAAGAGAAGCAACTCTTTATCAGACTCCAGTCAAAACAATTGCAGCAAAAATCATTTAGAAATGAAAAATGATAAGATCATTAATTCAGTAACACTCCTCATATGCTGATCAATCCCAAGACAATAAGAAAGAACAACAAATGTCATGGGATTGCATAGTTTTACATCTCCTTTCACATCTTTGCGCTCAAAATGTGAATACTAAGATGCCAAACCTTTCAACGCAAAATAATTAACCAGGATACCGAAAATAACATCATTTTAAAAGCAAAGGGTTATTTCCGTTCTATATTTGTAACTTTTCAAGCATACATCAACGTTTATGCATAAGTGTTTTACATGTGTGGGAAAGACAAACTGGAGAATATCTCAAAGTGTGATGCAATAAAACCAACAATTATAGAATTCCAAAATCTCACACCAAACAAAAATAATAAAATGCAATTTGTAGAACATACGAGTATAAAATTTCAGTGCCAGATGAAGGCTTAAAAAGTTCAAAGGTAGTTTCATATCACCAAAAATAAAAATTCTTTCCAAGCACAAATATAATGCAAAAGTAATTTTCAATCTTTAGATAAGGTTTAGAAATGCCATGGAGTTGGTCAAAGAAAAAATTCATACATACAAAGTCAGGGCAAATCGACAACTAAATTGAACACACACAAAATTTGTAGCTCAATCTTTTAAAATATTACCTGAAAGTATGTGAAAAATCAGCATATTCAAACAGAGAAGTGGTATGCCTGAGCTTCAATCCATGTGTATTTATGCATGGCATTTATATGAATGACAAGTCAGAGAATTTCAATGTCGTATCTGATTTCTGAAAATGAGTGATGAAAACCAATATTTTGTTCCAAAAATACAAAATTTCATCCAAAGCATAGGTATATGACAGGATGATGCAACAGTGAGGGCTAGGCAAGATTTGGTATTTAGTTTAATTGTTGATATAAAAATAGAACAATCAAGCGCAAATAAGCAAAATGTGTACTTGAATTTCATCAATTCTGACCAAGAGAGTTAGTTCAGTCGCCTTTCATCCCCTGAGGCTAGATCTTTCGAGATGATTCAAAATGATAGAGTTGCTTAGAGAAACAAACAATCAAGATTAAAACAGAAAGCAAACCTAATTGACAAAATAAGTTTTGATCTAAACAAAGTAATGACAGCAACTGCCTTAAGCAATTTTATTCAAACTTCAAACTATGACCTACAAAAAAACGAAAACCTTAACAGAATCATAACCCCCACCCTCAAAAAAGAGAAAAGAAGAAAAAGAGTTCAGTATACCTTTCTAATACGGCAAGTATAGTACTTAATATCCTTCCCGTTGTCGTCTCTCTGGATGTTGATGGTGCAGGCTCCAGCACCGCACTTGCACATAAGTGCCTTGACATTATCGCACCATTGGAAAAACTTTTTGCCCTGGGTTGCCTTGACATTATCGCAGCTGCAATTACGAGTATAATACCTTCTGCCTGGATTGGCCTCGCTGCGGGAAACACCAATGGTGCAAGCCACTCCGCAATGGCAACGCAGCAGGGGCAAATGATGGATGTCCTCTGGAGGGAAGGGTTGGGATGATGAAGCTTTTGTTGGGGTCCGGGTAGGGCAATCCCGTGCCCAATGACCTTGCTTTTGACACCTAAGGCATATGTCTTTCATCTTTCTTTCCGACAGACTTTGGCTGTAGTTGGCAGGGCTCTTACTCTCATCTTGCTTGTCATGATAAGCAGATGCTGTTGGTGTTGGTGGCGGTGGGCTTCGACCTTCTTCACCATGTCTTTCACCTTCTACCACCATTTCCATTTTGGTTCTTATTCAGACAAACACACTCTTTCTTTAGTCCGACCGACTTTTACGGTCCAATTCCTCTTAATTGTTGTGTTCTTGTCTTTTCTCTTTTTATATTATTGTTATTTTCTAGTCTAATAAATCAAAATCATTTAATCTTTAATTGAAAATTTTTAAAAATTTAATACCGACAACTTTCTTAAAAATAACATGTCTTTGGAAATTATCCAAATAATTATCTATAGTTTATTATTTTATTCATTAAATTAAAGAAATTTACTAATCTAATCCACTAACATAATGATCATAATAAATATATGGACAAAAACATACTGGGCTGGGATTTATACCTCACAAAAGAAAAAAACATTTTTTGGGCTAAATTTGGGTTTTGTAGTTGATCAAGCGTGTTGGGTTAGTGGGAGCCCCGACGATTTGGTCTACCAGGGTAGGCCTCAGTTAGGTTAGCAGCCGAGCCTACCTCCTTCTTTCATCCTTATCCTTTATTTTTGTTTTCCTCTTCCCACCGAGAGGGTGTTGTTTCCCGAACTAGCACTTCAACAAAATCCAGCAGCCTCCTCCTTCCCTCTCACCACTCTCTCATATGCCATCGCTTTCGTCGCCGGTGGCCTTCTGCTCCCGGCAGCCTCTTTTTCTTTTCTCCTTGTTCTATTCCCGCTCTTCACCTTTTACCTGTCTCTGACAGAAACCTCACCAAAACTTCCACTTTCCCCCATTCCTAAATGTAGCCATACTAAAAAAATAAGAAAAAATTTTCACAATTCTAAATTTGTAGTCAACCAAGAAATCATTACTTACAGTTAGCTAGTAATTGCTAAACAGGTATCAAAACAAACATATTGATAAAGAAGTTTCGCGTCCCATCTCATTTGGCAAACAGGAATCATTAAAGCTCTTTCTTCAAGAGCTAGACATTTCAGAACAAGACAAGTCAATAACACTCCAGGGCAATAAGTCTTTATATAACATCTACACATAATCAGACAATAACTCTCCCTTTAAATCCTAAAAAAGGGTAAATAAAACTTGCTTTCACACAAATGAGAACATGGTAAAAGCATTTGTGCCACCAGTTTGGTGCAGCATGGCATCAATCTCATCACCATCCTCCATTTCCAGCTGAAACAAAAGAAAAATGAAATTTCATTATGCATTGAATAAATTCCAATCTGCACATACATATTAGTATGAGTGATTGTGTGTGTAAGAGAGAGAAATAGAATCATACCTCATCAGGAGTTTGCTCGCCTCGCAGGCGACGACCATCAAACAAGAAAGCAATTGAGTTGAAATCCACAGACTGACGATCACAATATGCATTCATAAGCTTCTTCAGTTGTGTGGTTCTTTTGATCCTGAAGAAAACTTCATTCCCATCCTATGGTCATAATGCCAAATTGCAAATTAGTCTCAAATAAAAGAGGAAGCATTAATCCAAGAAGTCATGTCATAAATCTCAAATTCACTATGACAATATCAACACCTTCACTCTGAACACTTAAGTTTATCTTAATAAAAATGAATAAACTTCTTAAGGCAAAAAATACATATCATTCAATAGTAAATTAACACAGTTTCTACCGATAGATAAGTCAAATGAAGGTGTGTTCAAGGCCACACCAAGAATTCAGACCCAATTTGCAGTTCTTTATCAGCCCAAAAGCAGGGAAATTATTTGAACCTACAAAATTTCTAAGCCCATAATTTGATCAACAATAACTTCCCATTATTCATATATCAAATCCAAAATTCTCACTTTTATGTGGTTCCAAACTGGATTGGAAGAAATAACAACAAGCACAAGAAGCCTAGAAATAAGACTGAGATTGATGCAATACAAAAGGATATCGTTCTAACATATCCCAACAAATGGCAGGGATGGCTCAAAGTCTAGAAATAAAACTGAGATTGATGCAACACAAGGATATCATTCTAACATATGCCAACAAATGGCAGGGATGGCTGGAAAATGTCAGAAAACTTATGACGACTTCAAGAAAGAAAACTACTCGGATGCTGGTAAAATCAGAGTGAAAATGGTGTTTCCTTTCAGCAAGGGAAGGGAGAGAATGAAGTTATTATGAAAGCAAAGAATCAATGTGAAAGACAAAAGTAATAACAAACCACATACCATATCCTAAATACATTATACTATGTTTGGGAACATGAATTTGAGAGAGTAGATTTGGATTTAGTCTGCTATATAAATTGTAAGAATGAAATGAACACACTGTGTAAAAATTAGTTAAGATTCATTATATATAGCTATATATTTCAAATGGTATACGAAGATGAAATTGAAATTCACAAATACCAATAGATATTTCAAATCACAACTATATATGATTCAACAAATCCATAAATTTGAAAATAATCATAAAATTCATATTTACATGTCTTTTATCATACAATTTATACTATTTTTAAAATTCATTCATTCTTTTAAATTCAAGTTAACAAAGGCAAACTAAACTAATCTAAAACATGCTAAAACCACAAACAAAAATATTACCGAATTATTCTAATCTCAAATATTAAACTCAGTGATAACAAGAACAAATCAGCCAAAAATTAACAAGAACAATCTTTGCAACTACCCAATCTCACTCAGCATCTTATTTAATTTCAAAGCGCATAGCCATACACAGAAATTAAAAAAAAAAAAAACAATTTAAACTTTTAGAATCATGAAATGAATACCTACCCATTTTAGCACAATTTTCTATATGTGACGAAAAAAGGTTAAAACCCAACAAACAAATGAAAAGGCAAAAAATGGAAATTTTCAAAGTAGAAAATTTATCTTCCAACATTAATATAATAAAAAAAATGAGAATCTACGGATTCAAACGGACAAGGTGATTACATTGAAGGAAAATCAAATTTGAAAAAGAAAATTAAACCCTAAAAAAGTTCTTAAAACAGAAAAAGAAAATAAAGAGAAAATTGGAGAGAGACCTGGCCTTTGACTTTGAGGTTGATATGGGCGGCCGATTGGTCGCCGGGCTTCTTATCTTCCTCTTGCTGTCCCGACATTTTTTTTGGTCTTAGCAATTTCTGCTTCCGGTGCTTCTCTAATTCGATCTTTTATAGAACTAGGGATTTCTTTTTCCTTCATCTGATTTGTGTTCTTTTTATTAAAGCAAGGGCATATGCCATAAGTCTTTTTTTTTTTTTTCTCTCTTTCTTAGTTCTGGTATGTTCCACTTTCGCGAGCTTGATGACGTGGTAAACTATTACCGGATCATTTCCTTTATACTTTTGCCTTTTAATGTTTTAACTAATAATCGATTGACACGTGGAAAATTTTAAAATTGAGAAGCACTTAACCATCGCCATTTTTATCTTTATAGAAAAACATGGGCATATTTTATCTGGTCAAAAGGGCAAATTCTGTTTAAATACTAATTGTTTCTTTTTCCCTTATGGTAACGAAACACTACCCCATTTTCTTTTTTTGGGAAATTCAAATTTTGATTTTTCCGATATATGGAGATGTGATTATCCTCTTACCACTATCTTTTTCTCCAAACCCATTTCAATTACAGGTTGCGCTTGGCGTGTCAGTGAACAACTCATCTTCGGCTTTTTGCATTAGCTCATTTGGAGATGTGTTTATATATATATATATATATATAAATTGAGGCGTAGATTCGAATTCAATTCTTTGACTAAAAAAATTAATAATTTAGATGCAATAATTTTTTTTCAAAGGAAATTTTGGGAGTTCTAATTCAGATAGGAGTAAAATGCTACTTTTATCTATACGATGAACCTCATTTTTTATATATAAACTATATAATGGGTAACATTAATAATATCACCTGAGTCTTACAATTAGGTTTTCTTTTTTTTTTTTTTATTTCTTAATCTACCATGATTTTTTAACTTTTGTATTTATTTCATTGAAAAAAATATTACGCTCACAAATTCATGACAACCCATAAATTCTAAGCATCAATAAAATCTTATATTAACTTATTCAAATATTTAAAAATGTATTTGTTATTTTTTGAGATATTTGTCATACTATATCTACTACTATTTCGACAAATGAAATTCATTGAAACAGAGAATACCCACAACAAAATAAATCATGAACTTGCTTGAAAAGATCAAGAAAGAAAAATATTGCATAAGGAAAACTATTTAAGAGAAGGAAAAAGGAGCAACTAAGCCCACGAAGAGTTCTATTATCGAAGATATCCATGTTTATAAAATACCTGACTTTGACTAAGGTTGGTAATTCAATATGTTTCTCGATTGATTTTAATTTGATTCGATTTGATATCATAAAATCAAAATTTTTAAATCAAATTTTGAATCAAATTGAGTCAAACAATATTAAAAAAAAATTAGAGTCGAGTTAGATTCGAGTTTTAGATATATTCAACTCAATCCAACTTTATATTATATAAATTTTATTTTTTAATTATTTTTAATTCTTTATTTATATATATTTATATTTTAAAAATAATATTTTATTAATTTCAAGTTAGTACGATTTATATAATATCGAATCCAATCGAGATCGAATATGAAAAAAAATAAAAAAATTTTCAAATCAAGTTCGAGTTTTATGAAAATAAAATCAAATCAAATTTTGAATTAGCAAAAATTCGAATCGACTCGACCCATTGTCAACTCTAACTTTGACTTAGTGATAAAGAACAAGTTGTGGAACTTTAAAATTTTAAGTTTAAATTTTATTGTACATGAATTTGATTAATTAATTAAAATTATGGTTTATTAATTAATTATTTAATAATGTAATAATTCATTATACATATGAATTTGCTTATAAATATATTTTTAGATTTCGTTCATTTCAAGAAATATAATTTTTATATTTTTAGGTATATATTTGATAAAAAAATTAATTGATCAACAAAAAATAACTTACTGATAACAAAAATTAAGATTATTTTTTTAAAAATTATCTTGTGGATTTGAAAGGAAAATATATTTTCTTCAAAAAAAAATTCTCTATGTATAAAACTATTTATTAATATTTTTGAGCATAATTTTACATATAAATAACAGTAAATTAATTGATAATATAATAATAAATAATATATTATTAATAAATAATATACTATTAATAAATAATATAAAGAATAATAAATAGTTTTATGTTTAGTATTTTATATTAAGATAATATTTTTTATATTAAATAATATTATTAAAATATTTTAAATATTAATAATTTTAATAATAAATAATTTTAATATACTTTAATAATAAGTAATTTTTAATATTTTAATAGTTATATTAATATTTTTAAAAAATTAAAATTTTTAAAAAACAATCAAATAACAAAAATATTTTTATTCAATTATTCAAACAATAAGAATTTTATTTTAATTTAAAAAATATTTATGTTTTTTTAAAAATTATTTTTCGAAAAAAAAAAAAAACGTAAGAAAGTACCTAACCTTGATAAAAAATTCTGTTGGCCTTTTTTTTTTTGTTCCCTATATTTGGCAGACCATCAACGTTAGCTTTTGTACTAATTCCCGCTTTCTGGGAAACATCGGTGAATTCATATGACGTGCTTTGTTGCATTAATTTTTTTTTTCTTGTATTTTGTTTTATTGAATATTGTATTAAATCATTCTTTTCGTGTACAGCAAGAATGAATAGATTGTTTGGCACAATTAGAATGAGAACTATAAAAAATTTGTAACTCAAAAATTTTAAAACAAAACTTATCTCACAACTTAAAGAATCACAAATATACTTAACACTATTTATAGTGTTCAAAAATAGGAGAGTTAAGATTGAATATACCATACTAAAATTTGACACACCTAGTGGGTGAAAGACGGGAAGTAAGTGAAAAAAAATGAAGTTATTATTTTTTTTTATAAGAAAAAATTTAAAGAGTAGATTGGTTGTTTAGTTATTTAGATTAATATAAAATGTGTCGTATTTGACAATTTAAGATAAATAATTACAGATCATGCATTTAATATAACTTTAACAAATGATCACCAGCAGTATTCGAACCCAAAATATTTTTTTTGAGAAAGATAAATCTAATCGATTGAACCAATCACTTGTTGATAAAATAAAATTATTTCAATTATAAAAATAAAGAATAGTTTGCCAAAAAATTTTGTGATCTATCAAGAAAATATTGAATTCTTAATTTTAATGATTAAAATAAAAATTTATAACTTAATTATATATATATATATATATATATATATATATATATAAAAGGATAGTTTCAATTAACTGTTAGAATATTTTCAAAATAAAATAATTAAAAATATTTTAAAATATATCTATTCAATGTAATTGAATTTTGTGTTAATTCAATAGCCGAATTGATACCACTTATTTACTGAAATCGAAGTCAATCACTTTACTAATAATATAGATGACAAATATGACTTGTCTAACATTATGACATAACATAAATCAATTAATTCATAAATACCATTAAGTTATTAGCTTAGTAGCGTTCGAGACAGCTCTGGAGTTAAAAATCTTAAATTTGAATTCAATATAACTTAAATACAAAAAAATATAAATTAATTCATAAATAAAATATTACTACCAAATCCATAAATTATTAACACAGTTGGTGAAACAAAAATGTTGGGCCAAAGTAGTATTTTTCATAAAGTATGCATATATCTAATATTTAAATATCAGCTTCGATAATAAACAGTAATAAAAAAGTTGACTTCCGGTCTATGGTCTGAAGCAATCTGACGTGATTTTTGTGTTGGTAAATGTTGCAAAACCTTAATGATAGATTCTCATAGTTGTCAATCTCGAGAGGATGAATCTGTGCTAGAAATTAGGGTTAGCTAGAATTGTCAACCAAGTACCTCTCTAGAAAGATGGTTTAACGGGGGGCTATGTCATCAAAATTTTTAGTAAAAATTGTAAATGGAAACTTTTACCAGAGTTTTTCTAATGGTTTTAGATTCTGGGGTAATGGAACCAAAGCAGAGATTATATGTTGTTTGTACTCGTTAGAAAGCTAGGCTTCTTCGATTTTAATGCAACAAATAACATCAATGATCAACCAATTGGCCGTTTCTTCGAATATTTTCTACCATTCCCCATGTGTGATCACTTAAGGTTGAAAGAGACTAAGCTCGTCTTGTTTCATTATATATTTTTATTTTATCCATATTCCTCCAAAAGAAAAAAAATAATTTCTAGAAAATGAAGAAACTGTGAACCATACGTAAATGATAAATCTGATCACAACGATACTTATTGTACGCAGCGCTCCCAGGGCCAAAGCAAAGTACTAGCTTAAATCATATAATTTGTCTAAAGTTTAAGCTTAAATCGTTAGGAATGGTAATTCACTTGATCCTTTGAATTGTATGAATTTGAGTGGGATGTCACGTACTAACAAAATTGCAGGCAACAAGTTTCCATCTCATCCAAGCTGTTCAATGCTGCCAATTTTCCGTAGTTCTTCTCAAGCGATAAAAAAGAACACAGTAAAAGTATATGGGCTGCTGCACAGTTCTAGAGACTTTCTTTTTACCCCAATTGCACAAGTATTTTGTTCATCAAAATCCATGGAAAGAAGTATCTAATTCTGAACGTTAACACCCTTTTTGTCACAAGTTTAGATGTGGACTGTGGTTTCCCTTCATTACACAAAAGGCACAGTTAGCGGACAGTTTTTCTTTAGTAAAAGAGTAAAATATGTCTTCCAGTAAAAGTTTAATAATTATTTAAATTATTTATTTTTTATTAATTAAATTTTATTTTGAATTATTTAAAAATTTAAAAATCTATTTTTGCATAATTAAATATTTTATCCCAATTAAATTAAAAATAATATTAATAATTAATTAATTTTTGTCTAATAATAATTTAATTAATAAAAAATATTTTATGAGTTTAATTAAATTAGAAAAACTTTAATTTTTATTGGAATACTTTTTGACCGTTTTAATATTTTTCTTTTTATCCCATCCAATCGAACACCATCATGTCCTTGTCTCGGCCCAACGTTCGGAAATTAAGTACCCAACACACCCCAATCACCTAATACACATGCAATTATTAATTTCTTTTACACTTTATACCCTACGTCTCCCTAACTTCAATCATCAATGAACCCCAGTCTCAAATCCCATCTTTTTCCGACTTCCAGCTAAGAGCGGTAAACGTGGATGAAATGGAGAAATGATGAAGCATTGATGGTGATGAAGTGAGTGGCATAGGAATGTAGCGTTGGGAGCAAAAAATACATCACCGAAAACGGTCGACTAAGTGGGCCACGTGGGGTTGTAGTGGCTAATGTTAAATTTTTTAGCCATTTTTTTGCACTTATAGGCTGATTGCCCAAGTGGGGGGATCGTGCTCCGTGCAGACTCTGCCTCGCCTTCCCAGCTTCCCTTGCCTGGTGTGCCAGCGGCTCTCTCTTACTGTCTGCCCTTTGGTTCTTGTCATTTCCCCTGACACCGGGGTCCCACCCCATCATCTCGATCTCCTAAAAACACTTACCACTCACGCAACTAATCGTCCCTCTCTTCCCCATCTCTCTCATTTCTTTAAACACCTGTCAAAGTCATACCTCTAAGCTCTCACTCTACTTAATTTTTTTGCTCTGTTTCCAAAAAACTAGAGCAGAGCGATGCAGCACTGTTTCGTTTCTTTCTCTCTTTTGCTCATTTCTGTGTTCACTCTTGCAGGTAACCTACATTTTGAGTTTTTATTGTGTTTCTCTTTGAATGCTGTTTCTAAAGTTAAAAAATATGTTCTTCCCATTTTCCAGATTCTGGTTCTATTGGAGTAAACTATGGAAGAATCGCCAACAACCTTCCGCCAGCAAACAAAGTGGTGGAACTACTAAAATCCCAAGGTCTAACTCGTGTCAAAGTATACGATGCCGACCCGGCTGTTCTCCATGCGTTATCCGGATCCGGAATCAAAGTGACCGTCGACCTCCCAAACGAACAACTCTTCGCTGCGGCCAAAAGCACTTCCTTTGCAAACTCATGGGTCGAGGGAAACGTCGCCGCTTACTATCCTCACACTGAAATCGAAGCCATTGCCGTTGGTAACGAAGTCTTCGTGGACCCGCACAACACGACCAAGTTCCTCTTACCCGCCATGAAGAATATCCAGGAAGCTTTGGTTAAGTTTAACCTTCACTCAGATATCAAAGTCTCTTCCCCCATTGCACTTTCCGCTCTCCAAAACTCTTACCCGTCTTCAGCCGGATCTTTCCGACCCGAACTCATTGAACCTGTTTTTAAACCTATGCTGGATTTCCTTCGCCAAACCGGGTCCTTCCTGATGGTCAATGCTTACCCCTTTTTCGCTTACGAGTCTAACACTGACGTCATCTCGTTAGACTACGCTTTGTTTAGAGAGAACCCGGGTGTGGTGGATCCGCGTAATGGGTTGAGGTATTTCAGTCTTTTCGATGCTCAAATCGATGCCGTTTTCGCGGCAATGTCCGCGTTGAAATATGATGATATTAAATTGGTTGTGACTGAAACGGGTTGGCCATCAAAGGGAGATGAGAATGAGAATGGTGCTAGTATCCAAAACGCCGCCGCTTATAATGGGAATCTGGTCCGTCGGATCTTGACCGGTGGTGGGACCCCTTTGAGACCCAAGGCTGATCTCACCGTTTATCTATTTGCCCTTTTTAATGAGAACAAGAAGTTCGGGCCTACATCGGAAAGAAACTACGGGCTGTTTTACCCGAACGAGGAAAAAGTTTACGATATACCTTTCACTGAAGAAGGGTTGAAGAATTACCGGGATAACCCGTCTCCAGTAGCAGGGAATCAGCAACACGGAGCGACCCCCGTAAATGGTGGAGGAAGCGTGTCAAAGAGTACGACGGGGAACACGTGGTGCATTGCGAATGGTGAAGTGGGGAAGGCGAAGCTGCAGGCGGCTCTTGATTACGCTTGCGGTGAAGGAGGTGCTGATTGCCATCCGATTCAGCCAGGTTCCAGGTGTTACGATCCTAACACCATCGAAGCCCACGCATCGTTCGCTTTCAACAGTTACTATCAAAAGAAAGGGCGGCAGATGGGAACTTGTTACTTCGGCGGGGCGGCCTACGTAGTCACGCAACCACCCAGTGCGTCTTCTATCATAGACCTTTGCTCTTTAATTTTTATTCAGCGCATATTAAATTTATTTAATTTTTTCAAGTTTTGCTAAATTACGCCAATAAATTGTTTTGTTGGGGTGCATGTTAGTGACATGTAAAGTGGAGTAACTAACGTGTACCTCTAGAGTAAGTCGGCCACTCAAACTCAAGTGAGAAAACAATGGTGCACTGCTGGTCAAAAAAACCCACGTGAATAGTGGTGAAAAAGATTTTGGAATCTTTCAAGGGCATACGTGGTGTTTATCTATTGGGTCACTGATGTGGACCCCTCTTCCCGAGATAAACCAGTTTAAATAAAGGGCGGTAGTAATGGGGTAGCTGCATTTTGTCCACCCCAATTATTGTTGTCCTTCTAGGGAAGTTTGGGGCCAGTGGTTGAAATATTAGTATTAGTTACTAAAAGTAACTGTCATGTTTTGTTTTGCAGAGTATGGTAAGTGCGAGTTTCCCACAGGATATTGAAGACCAAACCAGAAAATGACAAAAGGGTTTGGTGGAGAATAAGGCAGTAGTCGAAGGAGATTAATGCTAATTTTTAGTTGTAGTGGTTTTGGTTATTTGACTGTTGTGTAATTGTGGTTTAGATGGCTTTGTTAGGCAAATATTCGGACTTGGACTACCTTTTGTGTATAAATATTGGATCCTAATATGTTTGTAGCGAATGGAATGAATTCTGCAGCTTCAGTTTTGCCCCAACAGAAAAAAAAAAAAAAAAGGTTAGATTTCTTTTTTTTTTTTCGAGAGAAGTTTAGAGCAAAGATGATTATTTATTTTTAAAATTAAGACAGATAGGCAACTCAATTAAAATTTACGTAATTGAAATTTACCAATTCATTAAAATTTTATTTACAGATTTTTGGGACTTACAATTTCTGGCGACCGGCTGTGACGGACTAGAATCCGGATGCTTATGCACCAATAACTCACTCCTTTACCGATTCTCGTTGACATGGCTAGGGTCATTTTTGGTTACACAGTTTGTTTTAGAAATTTGCTTCCTAGTAACCTAACTATACGACTAACTCATTCCCTGTCTTGGACAACCACCCAAGTCATGGGATTCTTTCAGCCCAAATTGCTTCCTATTATACACCTCTAAATGGTCTTTTTGCTATCTGCTTGGACCCTAGACCCCCGTTGTTATAGGTGGGAAGTATAGCCCTGGGGTATAGAAAAGGATATAAAAGAAAGGATAAAAAAGAAAGGATATGTACACAGTGAAAAAAGTCTTTTCTGGTCTATAGTCAATTGGATGACAAACAAAAATATCACTTAAATCTAATCAATTAGATGGCTCTTCCACAGGACGATATGGTAATAATGAAAAAGGTTAACTTGTAGGGCCCTGCTTGGAAAATTGGAAACTGGGAATGGAGTGGTGATCAAAAGTATCATATGCTGTGTGAAAGTTACCTTGGATCCAGAATGAGCTATGCTTTTTGTTTCAATAGCAAATTTGTACAATCAGGAAAAATGGGGAGAGTTTGCAAATGGCTTTTCCTGTATGAAAATAGAAATGCAAATATGAGGCATAATAATAATGTCATCCTGGAAAGACATGGTGGTGGGAAAAGCATTAATATAGATCACAAGGAATGTTTTTATTTTTTATTTTTATTTTTTTCATAAGCAGACGACAATGTTCTTTGAGGCGGCACTGCACCGGAAAAAACAGCTAATATTTTTTAAGCTCTGAAAATGAGAGGTTCACTTCATCCCATGTGCTTGAGGTCCCATGTACTCGTTTGAAATGTACTTTATTGTTGCTATTTACATAAAGAAATAAGGCCATTTCATCAACTTGGAGGAGGACCATGGCTTGCTATTTAATTGAAAAGGTCTCAATCATTTTTTTTAACACAAAAAAGGGGGGGAGGGGGTAAGATTTTAGATAAAATTCATAAAGTTGCTAATTAAAAATAATTAACTAAAAATTATTGTTTAAAATGAAATTTGTAGAACTTGTTATATGGAAAGTATATTAACAAGTATTTGTATGAAATTCAATAGTGTCTCTTATAAAATGAGAATAATATTAGAAAACACTTGCAAGTTGTTCAATTAAGAATTAAAATATTCGAACTTGATATAATATCAGTACTCAAATAACCCAAGTTCAAGCTCAAATGTTTTTGCAGCTAATGTCAAGCAACTCTTACTCGACTAGTAACTTAATTAACTTATTTATGAACCTATTATCTGCAATTGCATCCATAGGCCGTTAGAAGTCTTTCATCAAGTTCTATGCAGACCAAATGTTGGCAGTAATAATGTTATTGTTGACAGATTGGAGAGAGAATAAATTAAAGGAGGAAGAAAACAATGGTAGGGGCATTATGAAAGGTTAAACAACTGAAGGGTGAGTGAGGCTGTCAAGGATTGTGAACCACCCAAAATGTCAATTTCTTCGGAAAAATCAAAGCTCAAACACAGATCAGATTCCCTTGCCTCCTGGTTTGAAATTGGCTCTTCTTACTGTTTACTCACATGCTGTATTATTGCAATTCCCACTTTCATTTTTATTATTATTGTTTTTTTTAAGGCTGTTAAGATTTAAATTCTCGTTATTAAAATTAAAAATTCAATATTTCATCTCTGTATAGTTTTATTTTCTGGTTCGACAAAAAAAAATTTCTGATTTGGATCGTCTAAGGGTGTTACAGTCATTGGCTTTTAGTCTTTCCTGGTCTAAGCCCAATTGAGAGGTCTATACAGTAACTAATCACCATATGTTTTGGGTTGTTTGCAAGTGAACCCAAAAGAGTAGTAGGATTCTCAGCCCAAAAGTTTCTAAAACCCATGCCCAGTTTTTACTGGCAATTTATATACTTCGTTCTTAAGGTATGAAAATGAAACAAAGTAAAATTATGCACAAAGAATGTCAAAATTATCCATAATCTTTCAATTTATTCCATTAGATGCAATCAGATTAGGCCTGTTTGGCATGTCCCTAATTCCTAACTATGTTAAAAGCACAAATTTGCACATCTGATATGTAATACACTATCTGGACCTTAAGAACATAAAGAACAGGTTCCAATAGGCAAGAAGAAAAAAAAAGTAGACTGAAATTTCACCGCAATGTCTCAAATCTTCAACTAACTTGCAAATGTAATGGTTGGGTAAACTTCAATGATTTTCATCAGTTTTGGATGCACCAGAAATCTGTATTTTGAGAAACTCTAATTGTATCTCCAATTCAAAGTTCTTTTTCTTTTCATTCTCTAACTCCAACCTCAGCCTCTCAATCAACTGCACCAATTGATCTTCTCTGTTGACCACTTCCCCTCCAAACAGATTAATCATTTCTGTCACCTTCTGCATTTGATCATCCAAACTCTTTTTCAATATCATCAGGCCACCCACTATTGTTTGTGGATTAGCAGTACTTTCAACTCTAGACTCATCCCCTGCAATTCCCTCAATGCCAAACTCTTGTTCACCATGAGAACCATCATTTCCCCCCTCCCCAACTTCCCCCGGTGAACTAATCAAACTTGACTCAGCCTCTGGTAAATTCAAATTTGATCCCTCGGAGTCACCTGCTCTTTCTGTAATTATCGTTTTGTCACCAAAACGAACCATTTTCACAGTTGGATCGTCTTTGGACTCGCTGTGGAATACAGGGTCAAGCTCGAACCCATCTTCATTGAAGGTCCACCCACTAATCCTTCCCTGTTTAACAAGCGGAGACCCTGATTCCACTTCAAGATCTTCATCATCTACTTCAACATCAACACCCACCCTAAGAATCTTGCTTACCCTGAACCTCTCTTCAACACTAGGCAATCCATGCAACACATGTTTAACAAGAAAATCCAAACCGTTGCAACTCTTAAAAAAAGAATGCTTCAAAAGCTTTTCTGCCGATGGTCGTTTCCCAGGATCTTGATCAAGACAACAAGCAACCATATCTTTAAAGGCCTTTGAAAACATCTTGCTCTTACCTTTCTTGCTATTATTTTCATAATCAGAAAATCCAAACCGCTTGGTAATCTTCATGATCAAAGACTTTGAAGGAGGTATTTGTGATAAAGGTGGCCTTCCATGGGTTAATTCGAGCGCGGTTATACCAAAAGACCATATATCAGCCTTGAAACTATACCCTGCATGCGAGTGTATCATCTCCGGCGCCATCCAATATGGGGTTCCCTTCACGTCAGTGGGCATCGACGATGATGAAGATGTCGATGAACCAGATCCATAACTTGAACTCGACTCATAAACTGAAGCTGAAACCCCAAAATCCGCAAGTTTAACACATCCATTCGAGTCCATCAAAATATTACCAGGCTTTATATCTCTATGCAAATGCCCTTGGTTGTGAAGATACGACAATGCATTGAGGGTTTCTTTGAGAACAATGGCAATGCATTGCTCTGATAATCCATCGGGGAAAGAAGATGAGATTATGGATTGTAAAGAACCTCCAAACATGAACGGCATCACCACCCAGAGACGTCGACCAACGGTGAAAGAGCAATGAGCATTAAGGATGTTGGGGTGTGAAAGAAGAGACATGATCTTGGTTTCACGTCGAATGTTGTCCAAATCAGCCTTCCACTGATCAAGATCAATGGCTTTGATGGCAACAACAGTTGAATTCATTGGAACACATTCGGCTTTGTAAACTATGGCACAAACACCAATCCCGATTTCGTCAACGATCTTGTAAGCGTCTGCATCTAATGGGAATTGAAGCTTGGGATGATCTTCTTCTTCACAGGCCATGAAGGTTTTTTTTTTGAATGAAAGGCTTTGAGAAATCTTCTTGTTGTTGTTGTTTGGGATTGGGTTAATTTTCTTGGAGGATTCTTGAGGAACAGAGATGAGGGAAAGAGAAAAAAAAAAGTAGGGTTTTAGGCGGTTTCCTTGTGAGGTTTGAAAAGGAAAGACTGCTATTTCTAGCGGTGATTTATGTATCTTTGAGAGGGTAAAGAAGATGCATGTGAATTTACAGCTTCATATGTACAAAGAGAGTGAAATTCATGTTACCAGCATTCAATAAAAAGAAGCAAAGGCCAAAGCCCAAAGGCAATCGGATTTTGCTTGTTTCGGGTATTTGGAGCTAATCTGTTTATCAGCCATGTAAATCAGAACGCCTCTTTTTTTTTTTTTAATAAAGGAAGTGACCCGAGATCATTGCTCAATCCTAGGAGGAAATATAATAAAATAATTGCATGTTAGTGACGTTGGATGGTTGCATTATCATAAGTTATTCGGAAATAAATATGATCACCGAAATTAATATTCCATTATAAATTCAATCAACCAATTTCAAACTCTCCTAAGGCTTAAATAAGGAGTACCAAACAATGTCAAGTGATAATTGTATATAGATTTACAATGATAAATTGCTGCCAAAACAGAAAGGGGCAGAAAAACATTGCAACAAATGAATGTGGTAGCAGCTTTGATCCAAGATGAAGCCAAATTATTTGTCAAGCACACCCGGGATATCGGGTGGGTCACGACTCACGAACATTCAAGTTTACATTTTCGAGGCCCAATCAAGCCCGATAGCTAGAAAAGGCGTCCTTTTTGGTTTAGCGCTAGGCGCGTTGAAATCGAAGGGAAGAAATTCGCCGCAGATCGGACGCAGGAGATTTTATGAATTTGTTCAGATTGATTAAATTAGAAGAGTTGCTATTACTAATTTCATATATATCACAGATTATAAATGTAGAGGAAATCAATAAACAAACAAATCATTATCAATATATATATGATTCAATTATTTTACAATAAATATCAAGGCTTTTTTACATAATTCTACACTTATATATCTTAATTTTATTACATAAAACATAATAAATTATTTATTGTATAACATTTATTTGGATTAATGATTTTTAATTTTTTTATATTCATTTTTTGCAATAATTTGTTAAAATTTATCGATACTGTTGGTTTTGTAACATTTATATTTTTTATTTTTAATTTTCTTATGAGTTATTACTTTTCGTCTTTTTTAAGGATGAAAGATTATATAAATTAGACTTATTCAAAGGTTAAGTTATTTATCTAAATCCGAAGGTCCGCTCAAATTTTAAGAGAATTTAGATACAAAATTAAAACCTTATAAATGGACTTGTGCACCATTTTTATGCTTGTTTAAACTTAAAGTTGGGTCTTGAACAAAATATTTAAAGTTCGAGTTTAATTTAAGTCGATTTAAATTTACATATATGAGTTTTTTTCTTCTTATATATATGTGAATTATATATAAATTAATTCACATATATATAATTTTTATTTTTAATATATATGTTAATTGAATATAATCTCATTAAACTTAATTTACTTATATATTTTTAATTTTTTATTATATAAATTAAATTTAATGGGTGGGTTTAAGATTTTTTTAAATTGAGGTTGAATTTGAAAAATTTTTGAGACTTGAAATTTAATGTTGGATTAGGCTTGGATAAATATACAAATTATTAATATTAAATATGAGTCTAATTCGAATTTAATTCTGTCCAACCCATGAGCACCTCTAATATAAATGCCTTTCATGTCTTTATTACATTTTTTTTCTCCCAATTTTTGTTTATCATATTATTAATAATGAGATCTATTTTTTTGTTGTGGTTTCATTTTGATAAATTTTTTAATGATAATCTAAGATTTTTTTTTTATATATTTCAAGTTTGCTTATTAGTCCATTGATGTATTTTTTTAGTGTTTTATATTTTTTATCATGATCTTTTTTTTTCTAATTTAAACTTGGCTATTAATTAATTACTAATCATGAGCTTTATTTATTATTATATTTTCATTTTTATAATTTTTTATTTTTAATAATGATTTACGATTTTTTTTTTCATTTTTCAAGTTTGTTTATTAGCTGATTGATATAATTTTTTAATGTTTGCATTTTTATAATTTTCTCTTTTTTTACTATATATATATTTTTTAAGTTTAGGCTTTGTTATTAACAAATTAGAATATAGCATTGTTTATTTATAACTTTTGACTTTCCATTTTTGGGATTATACAAATGCTTTCAATCTCTTACATATTTTATTTTTCAGTTATGTAGCAAGTTACTAATTATGAGATTTGTTAGCAATTTTTTTTATGTTTGCATCTTTGTAATTTTTTATATGATCCATATTTGATATTCAAATATATCTGTTGGATATTTGCAAGATGTTTAAAACCTATTTTTGCTTATGACTTTTGAATTTTTTTCTTTTAAGCAATATATTAATTGTTAAAATAAGAGTTGAAAAGTTTAGTTTATTAAATGTAGTATACTTTTCATTTAATTTTGAAAGTATGTTTTAATATTTTATTTGCATCTTATTTTTAAAGAATCAAGTTAACATAAAATTTGTTTCTTTTTTCATTTTATTCACTGTGTTTGATTTTTTTTTTTATAGGAATTTTAAAATTTGGTAATGTATGAGCTCATTGACAATGAAAAATGATAATCAAGTTTCAATATTTCAATAAAATTTTAATTCATTTTGTTATCCCGTGCTTTTCTTTTTTTCTTAATCTATTTATTAATTTTCTTTTCTCATTTCTTTATTTCTATGCTCATCATGTGATAGTTAAAATATAGAATATAAATATTTTATTTTGTCATATTCATTTATATTGTTAACAAATTTATGTTTTATTTAGAAGATTTCTTTTGACTTTTGATGATTTCTCTATGATATTATAGTTTGATTTTTTATGTTAAGGTAATAACATAAGACTTTTCAAAAACTCAAGATTAATATAATTTTTTTCCTCAATAAAAAAACCATTATTAATTTTTCTGGTAACTCAATTTTTCTTTTCTTTTTAAACTTCTTAAATTAATTAAAATGATAGAAATAAAAAGTTACAAAGATAAGCTAATTATAATATAACGCAAATAATCATATAATTCTTATAATTTTATAATATATAATGTACAATATACTTATAAAATTAATTAGTTTTGCAAAACAAATGCATTTCAAAATGAAGGCATTTTTCTTTAAATTTTTAGTATTTAACAAATGAAATGTGTATGAATTACACTTGCAATTACATCCATTTTATAAATTTATGTAGTGTATGGATAACTATTTTCAATATATTTAACATTTTAACTCTTTAATCTTAAATTTAAAGTTATAATTTTTATTTATTCGATTTTTTTGTCTTTCTAAAAACTCTATCAACAATTCAATCATTTTTACGAATGAAATAGCAAAAAAAGATTTAATTTATTTTATTTGTGGTGAGTAAATAAAATCTTTTATAATTATTTTATTATTTATCGTATTATAAATCCAAGAGATCTAAGAAAATTAGCCTTCTTTATAATTTGAAATTATGAATATTTAAAAGTTCACGTTACTTTCAAAAAATTTTATTTATTTCTTGAAAATTTTTTACAATATATTATTATTAATAAAAAGTTAAATATTTTTTGCCATTAACATGACTTGCTAATAATAATAATAATAATAATAATAATAATTTTCGAGGAAAATAAATACTCAACTAATGTCTTTAAAACTATTATAGAAATTAGAACATTTTTTTTTTGTTAATTAACAATTAGATTTTAATACTTTTATTTTGGAGCTCTTCAATCAGTTGAGTGGAATCAAAAGGGACGAGATTTATTTGATCAAAGAAAATTACACCAAAATATTTAGTTAAAATATCTATAGTTATTATTTTTATTTCATTTTACTATACTACTTCATTAAACATAAGCATTGAGTGATAATGATTTGGTAATAATAATAAAATATTTTTTTATATTTTTACTTTTAAAAGTCACAAACATATACCAAGAAAAAGTGAAAATGTTAATATTAAATATATATAGGGTTCATAAATCTTACGATTGAATTTAGTTACTTTACTATTTTTAAATTTAATATTTTTATCAAAATAATAACTTAATTAATAAAAATAGATCTATTTGTTTTTTTGTACAATAATTACTTAAAACTTGGGTTTCAATGGAAGATTTAATAATAATATTTTTGTATAGTTTTTTTCTTCTAAAATTAATAAATACACATAAAAATTATTTGAAAAAGTGTTCATACAATATATGAATTTGAATGAAAGCTAAGAGTTTAATATAATATTGATAAATCTTATAAAAATTAGAAGAAACTTTATTTATTTTTTACATATTGCTAAAGGCATTTACTATCTGATCAATCTACACCTTAAAGTTATTAAGGAGAGTTTGGTTTTGAAGAATGCATGTGGCCTGATTTTGAAGGATTTGTTTTAACACTTCTTCCAAAAAAGGTTTATTTTTTGAGATGGGAAATGAATTAGGATAGTAGTGGGTGATACTGGGTAAAATAAAAAATTGTGCTGGTGGAAGGTATGAAGGCTTAATAGGATAAGGCATGTTATACATAAGTGTTGAACTAAAGGGCTACTCTAACTATTGTCTTACGAGTAATTAGAATAACCCTTTCAATTTTGATTGTAGATGTTTTAAAAAGAATATGACTGTCAATTATGAAAACACCTATTACTATTGTAACCTCTACAATAAACATCATATTAGTTCTAGAATGGATGGATAAGATTAAAATCATAATTATCACTAATGGAATCAATCTTATTTTATAGAATAGTTACTTGTGAAGCTAGAGCATTAAGGGCATTTAAGTTCGATCCACTTGTAACTCGTCTAGACTCTAAGCAATTAGATAACTATTGAGCTTGGGAACTTTCTAAAAAAGATGTAGCATAATCGCTATGGTTTCTAGCCTTATATGAATAGAACCTTAACATAAAAGAAAAAAAGATTAGTAAAATAAAATAAATTGTGAATTATAAAAACCGTGTGTTAGTATCAATATTAATTCTTCTTCTTCAATCCCTAATAACGGTGTTAAAAACTTGATTAAAAATTTATAAGTTTATAGAATCGTATCAAGTAATAAAGTGATAAGTAAAGTTCGATCCCACGAAAACTATAATAGAGAAAATTAAGTACCAAAATTGAACACTTTTAATTATATTCAGAAAATCAAAAATTAAAATAATTACTAAACTAATATGTAAAACCAAAATAAATAAACTAAATCAAAATTAATTAACTTAAACTAATGTAGAATTTGTCAAGTAAACTAGTGCAATAGCTATAATTTAAGTGCAAAAAAGTTTTTAAAAGTGCTAAAATAGAAAATTAAACCTAAATTATATGTAAAAAAAATGAAATAGTGTAGAAAAATTAATGCAATAGCTAAAATAGTGAATAAGAATAAATTGCAGTGCAAAACAACGAAATTGAACAAACTTAAATTAATTCTAAGATATGTAGTATCTAAAACAAGAATTAATGTAGCAAAGTTAGACCTAAACAATGAACTAAAAACTGAAACTATCAAAGAACTATAATGCAACAAATTCAAAATCGAGACTATTAAAAAAAAACATTAAATTGTAATCCTAAAACGACTTAAATTAAATCAAAATTCAAACGAAACTTAAATTGTTTGAACACAAATTAAAAGAGATTGAATAAGAATTAAAATAAACTTGAAATTAAATTGCAAGAAAATAAAAGTGCAAGAGTCAAAACTTTTTAAAGAAAATTTAAAGAAATTGGAAAACTTAAAAAACTAGAAGAACAAAAAAGCTAAAGAACATTAAAGATTAGTTAGTTTATCACCTCAATCATTATATGTCATTTCCCTGAACAAAATATAGCTAATTATAGATATGGAATCCCAAGGTTATAATTTTGATAGAGAGCAGAATGCTTCTTTAATTTGAAGTAGAGCTTTTGAATAAAAGACAACTTCTTGGAGAGTTCTTGTTCATTTCGGTCTCTTAGGTCAAAACAGAATTTTAATTTTGTTTTGTTTCTCCCGTGCAATCTTGTATATCATACGCATTTTAACTTCAAAATCTAACCAAATTGTCTCAAATTTTATTTTTTTTCATTTTTTCAAATTTTTTTCTACACATGCACAAATTAAACAAATTAAAGAGAAAAATTAAATTATTTTACGAAGAATTAAGTAAAATTCATAAAATTAAGCATTAAAAATAACTTTATTTTATAGAGCTATCATATATTCTTTACAATTTACTATTCATAAAACAACATATTAAATTAGTTAATAAATATTTTTTTATGTTCTTATACACCAATTATTTATTTAAAATATGAGTTAGAATTATGATTTATATAGTCAAATTTTTTGTAACCAAAACAAAAGGTGAATAGTATTTGTATTAGATATATACACTATCCATTATTCAATTTAAGGTTATTAAAATTTTAATTGTATAAATTAACTTCAATCGTATGTTAATTACTCTAAAATGAAAGTCGTACTTAGTAAATATCTTTACTACTTTGTTTTAGTAGAGGAGAGAATTTTATCTTGAATGATAATTAGTTCCAAGTAAATAGTAAAATCTTTTAAATTGGATTTGGAAATTTAAATTTGAAATAAAAGATTAAAAAAAAACTTTTTTAACAAAATAAAAGATTTAGATTTAGATATTTCAAATTATAGATACTCCTCTCTCAAAATTTTTTATAATGTTTACTGCTTCGACAATATTCAGGAATGAGTCAACGAAGGTTACGAGTGTTTGTCACGTTTACAAGGTAGAGAGAGTCTCAAGGCTTTTTCGTTAGTCTCCATCACCCAAAATTAATCACACATTCACCACCCATTACTTCTTTTAGGATCATAATTTTCCAAGAAAACAAGAAAAAGAAAATCATTCTGGGTATAGTAGGAGAAAGAAAAAACAAACCTTGAGAATCAACCATGCCAAACAAGTTAAAGAAGGCAATTGGGGCAGTGAAAGACCAAACCAGCATCAGCATTGCCAAGGTTGTTAACACCAATTCCGCAAGTCTTGAAGTTGCTGTCCTCAAGGCCACCACCCATGACCAATACCCCATTGACGACCGTTACGTTAAACAAATCCTTGGGATAATCTCATCCAACAAGCTTTATGCGGCAATCAGCGCCCATGCCATTGCCAAAAGAATTGGCAAAACAAAGAATTGGGTTGTTGCCCTTAAATCTTTGATGCTTGTTCTTCGAATTTTTCAAGATGGTAACCCATATTTCCCTAAAGAAGTCCTTCTTGCAACGAATCGTGGAGCCAAGATTCTCAACCTCTCCACTTTCAGAGATGACTCCAATTCCAGCCCTTATGATTACACGGCTTTTGTCAGGTTTTTTGCTTTTTATCTTGAAGAGCGTTTAGATTGCTTTCTTACAGGGAAGCTTCAGAGAAGATTTACGTTCAAAGAGAGGGAAAGTGGCCATCTAAGAAGCGGTCGAGTTAACCAAGAGCCTGTTCAACATATGAAGCCGCCATTGTTGCTTGATAGGATTTCTTACTGGCAACGATTGCTTGATAGAGCCATCGCCACAAAGCCAGCAGGTGCAGCCAAGACAAACCGGCTAGTTCTGGTTTCTTTTTATTCTGTCGTCCTAGAAAGCTTTGATCTTTACAGGGACATATCTGATGGACTCGGTATTCTTTTGGATAGTTTCTTTCAGTTGCAATATCAATCCTGCGTCAATGTGTTTCAATATTGTGTCCAAGCCACAAAACAATTCGAAGAGCTTTCTTCTTTTTATGATTATTGTAAGAGCCTTGGGATCGGCAGGACCTCGGAATATCCAAGTGTGCAAAATATATCAGAAGAGCTTATGGACACGTTACAAGAATTCTTGAAAGACCAAGCTTCGTTCCCATCACCTGGGAAATCCCCATCTTCTAATTCGCCTCGTTTGCTTCTTTTCCCAGCACCACCTGCCAAGGATCCTTCAGAAACTACAGAGGGAGAACCTAAAGCTGGTTCAAAATGCACATCCTCGGAAGATATGATCAGTCAGACAGAATCTGTTGGAACAATAAGCCCATCTTTCTCGGTCGGCCATTTTTCGGAGATGTCTGAGAAACAGCGTCATGAACAAGAAGATATGTATAATGTCACCGAAACTGGTTCAAACCACTCCTTACCCATTGATCAAGGGACAAATGTGACTACAGATTTTATATCCTTCGATGACTGGCCAATGGTAGTTACAACCCAAACACAACAAAATTCAGCAATATTGGATTCAACTAATGGTGAAAAGGGTTGTTGGGATGTTGCTTTAGTAGAGGCGCCAGCACAACTACAGGCTTCTCAAAACGTAGCAAATGATGATCACTCTTTCTTTGACAACTGGGTACAACAGGATCATAAACAAGAACAAGGTTCTCAAAATGGAGAAAATGGTTCCTCTTTTTTCAACAACTGGCTGCATGAAGATCAGAGAAATGAACAAGCTTCTGCCAAGTGTCATTCATATATCAATGAATGGCTACAAGACAATCAAAAGCATGAGCAAGCTTCTCACGTTGTAGGCAATGGCCATTCGTGTTTTGATGACTGGTTACAGGAAGATAAAAATCTAGAACATGCCTCTCAAATTGTAGCCACTGGCCACTCCTATTTTGAAGAGTGGCCTCAGGAAGATAAAAAAGAACCCGAAGAACAACAGCAAAATTCAGCTTCGAATTGGAACAATGGTGGTAAGAAAGGTTGGGAGCTTGTGTTTGTAGAAGCCGCAACACAACCTGCACAAGCATCTGAACATTTAGCCAATGGAATTGAGCCCTCCATGGAAAACTATTTATTTGATGAAAGACCAATAGAACCTCAACGCCAATACAATCCGTTTCTTGAAGATGAAACAGATATGTCAGCATCCATTGCCACCACTACCAATGACATTGCAGCTTTTCCTGATGAGTTCTCAATGGCACCAACATTTCATGCAAATCAGAGTCCTAATGAAATGGCCACACCAACATTTCAGGCGATGCCAACATCTATTCCCCAGAATCCTAATGGGACAACAGCCGCGTTTCAGGATGATGAATATGACCCTTTCGCTCCATGGGCGACTATGAAAGCTAACAACAATGTTTCTTCTGATGGTTCAGTAGATCAACAAAATGTGTTACTTCAACAAGAGCTGTGGCTGCAGAACCAAAACAAGATAATGGCAAGGCATATAGTTTGATCTATTTTTGAATATTCGATTCGTAAATAACTTTGTACAACTAATTTACTAGTTGACAGTTTTCTCAATCAACTCCTTTTTTTTTTTTTTTCATATGCCAGGATAATCCAACATACAAAGTAATAATTGAAACATTTGTTCTTCTCTTTTGAGGCAATTAATGTCTTTTCAGCAATGGCTTGTTCTGGGCAGATTGAACCAATTACAGAGTTCATATAGCCAATGTCACTAGTAGCACAGCTTTTTTAATTAATTCTTAGTTGTATTAAAATTATATGCATTGTGATTCTGGAGGTTAGCATGGTTAGTTCATAAAATTATTTTTAAGATATGACATCTTTTGGGTCTGAATTTCCAATCTCAGCACTTGCAACATCTTTTTATATCCCGGTTTGCTGTCTCCTTTGTAAAAAAAAAATAAAAAATTATATGCAATGCAGGTAATCGGGTAACAATGAATGAACTACCTAGATCCGACCCTTAACTGAAGCAAAACATACATTCCTCTGCAACTGGTTTACAAGTGTCCATTTTGGAAGTAAAAAAAGTGTAAAAACAAAGGGTCCATTTCAAATTCTATATACTTTTAAAGGTATCATAGAATTGCTAAGCCCAAAGGATTGCTTTGTGTCATAATCATTCGAAATTTCAAGCAAAACAACAGATAAGCCCAATTAAGTTGAAGCTATGGTTCACACTTCACACTAGGAGTATTGTGGCGAGTTTGGTCCCCTGTTTGTTTTTGTTTTTACCTTGACTGCCATATCTCTGCTTTAACTAACAAATCTAAAGACTTTGACTTGCTCCGTAAAGGACCTTGTTTAGACAACAGCTCTTCTTGTAATACACGCAAGCGTGTAAGAAGAAGTAACCATACCATATAGTATTGGACAATTTTGAATGCATAGTAATTGCCTTCATTAGTAATATGGTAAAAAATTTTTTTTTTTACTTCTATTCACTCTCTTCATATAATATCTTGACTCGATCATCATAAAATCTTTTGAAGTATCAATTTCTATTAACCATCTTTATCTCGTAGGTCTTTCTGTTAAACTATGAACAATCACGTCAGATTTTGATTTCAACAAGAACAGTACTTGGAGAACAATACGCTTTACTTTGAGCTAAAAACCATTAAGATTGCAGTAAAAAATCGTGAATTCAATATGATAAAGTTGACCAAAAGAATGCTTACTTTAGGTAAATTTAGAAAAACATCCACTGTTGTCATTAGTTGACTTGGAATTCAAATACAAATCATATGTTATACTATGTCATTATAAAACTTGAAGTCAAAATAGAATTCATTATTAAAAAAAATATATACTTAAACCGTTGAACTAGGCTTGAGCTGTTGGGCCATAAACTTTAGGGTTCTTATTTGAATTTCACTGCAATTTCATTTCAGTGCGTCTTGAGCATTTTTTTTAAGCTAAATTTTACCGTATCAATGTTTGGATAACATATAAATGGTGCAATTGGATCATTCGGCTCACACCGAAAGGTTTAAATTCCACTGTAAGAGGACAGGTCCAGTGGACGACTGAACCCAAATTGAACAATTTTATCCTGTTAAGGTTTTTTTTTTTTTTTTTTTGTCACAAATTTATCGTTAATTTGTATATTTTGGACAAAAATATCCTTCTTAAAGTTGATAATTACACATAAATTTTATAACGGTTTGTATTCAATTATTTTATAACAAAAATATTATTATAAAAATAATTTTAGTAATAATTATTTATTAATAAAATTATTATTATAAAAATAATTTAATAATTTATAATAATTTTTTGACATCATAAATATTGTATAAAATTTTTTGGTCATAAATATTAAATAAATTCATTATATCCAAACTTTAATTTAATATTTTTAATGATAACTTTCCTTTCTTACAACACTTAATTTCATTGTCACCACTATTTTTATTTTCAAATACATATTCCTATCTCCATTATTAAATTTAGTTTTATTATTGTAATACTTAATCTCACTTCTACTATTGTTTTAATTTCAATGTCCATCTAAATGGAATGGAATGTGAGTTATAGTATCTTTAAAAGCTATATAAATTAAGTACTTAAAAATTGATATAGTCCAACGAATTGAATTCATTATCAATGTGTAGTATTTTTTATGGACGCTATCAACTTTATAAATAAGTTGAATATGTTCATTTATAGACTGCGGTTGAGACGATTTTCAATTACTTTGCTCTTGCATCTATCTTCAAGAACGCCTTTGGAAATATTGTTTTTATGTTACTAACAAAAGTGTTCTAACAGGTGTTCCCAATTCTAAGGGCATGTAACATCACACAATTTCTTCTAGAACTTGTTTTCTTATAAAAGAAAGCCGTTTAAGAGAAGGAAAAGGAGAATTATTGGTCATCGAAACCCCACTCTGTAATAATTCATCTTTTAGAAAAAGTGACTAAATTCATATTCATAAGCCACATGTTCTTGCTTTCAAATCTTTGTTTATAAAAACGTGTTAATGAAATGCAATTTCTTTGTTACTTTTTTTTTTTTTTTCTAATTTGTTTCACAACTTATGTGAAAGTAACATGCTAAAAGCTAACCCTTCAACCACCAATTGAGCGTCCAGTCAGTCATACAGTTCTTCGCCGTCTAATCTACGACAGTCTAGGTAGAATATTTCTTTGCATAGCATCAAGCACTGCCTTAAGGCATCCTCTTAAGGTCTAGATTTTGCCCCAAAATTGACGGTGGGGTGCGTGAACTTTGGAAATACTCAAATTATCACAACACACCAACTACTGTGTTTGTCTATTGTCTGCTCGTGGAACTTATCAAACTCGATGTTAAACCAATTGACGGGCAGGGCCTGCGTCCAGCCGTAATATTCTTCCGTCAAAATAAAACACTAGTAAAAGTATTTTTTTTACCAACCCTAGATATTCCTTGTGACGGTATATTCTGTTAACCAGAAACAAACACAGTGATTAAATGGGCCAAAGGGACTGGGAAACCTGTAACAGTAAACAGTAATTTATTTTTGGTACGAAATAGTAAAGAATGATGGACAAGGCTGAAACAGAGTGACAGAAGCGAGAGAGATGGAAGCGTGAAGCTTTACAGCTTTTTGACACAGTGGCTTCAGAAGGAAAATATGACCATAAGTTCCATTACCAACAAATAATGCAAAATAAAACTAAAAAAAAAAAAGTGAAAAACTGTTGTTTGGTAGCATCTGCTGGTAGATTGTGGTAGGACCAACGGCTAATAAAACAACCAAGACAAGGGTGATGACTCAAGACTCAAGAATTAAGCTAGCAATGGCATGTGAAGTTGTGAACAATGAAATGGACCACTCAATATTATGTTTCGACAACATACTAGTCTAAGTCTAAGTAACTACATTTATATCTTCCTTTTCCCATGTGATGTCGCTGCTCTCTTCTGCTTGGGACCCGCATCTCTAGTCTGTACCCTCTCTATAGCTCCCCTTCTTCCCTACATCAGCGCCGAGCCTGACTCCTCAGTCCTCTCCCACCCCTATTTTCTTTTCTTTTCTTACCCTTGGTGCTGCACCCTCTTGGCCTCCTTGCCCAAATTTTCTTTTCTTTTTTCTCTTTTCAGATTCTCAATATCATTCCAGGCCAACATTCAGGATTGCAAACAAAGTGTGAAAACAAGGGACCCACAACCCACATTGCCAAATCTGATGAAAGAGCCATCAGCTATGCTGAACACCAAAGACCATAATCATTGCCGTTGATTCCTTTCCATTACCTACTTGGAAAGGGCAAAACCCAAAAAGCCAAATCTAAGCCCTAAAACTAAAAGCTTTGGGCGTGTTATAGGCTGCAACCCCAGATTTGGTCAGTAACGTCCATATCAATTCAACAACATTCCAAGAAACTACGAGACAAATGTCATCATATTCCATAGCGTAGTAAACTTATGCACGACAAACGACAAACAGAAACAGCTGCACTCTTTTTTTCCACAAGTAAAAGAAATTACAGATAAAAACAAAGACTTTAGGAATTTACATTATAAAATAAAGTCCGCAAAAGAAAGATTAAATTAAAAAAGAAAACATAACAATCATCATAACCTCCCTCTTACACAGCTCAGTTTCATGAGTGAATCAAATACTATTAATTAAAAAATAAAATAAAATAAGAAAAACGAGGATACTCCCTAAAAACCGCATCCATGCCATTTGTCATCATATAATAATATATATTAAAAGATAATTAATATTAGAAACTTTTTTTAAAATGATATGAGGTAAAAAAGTTTGAGTGTACGAATTATGTCTGGTGCTTTTTCCACCGTAGCAGTTTCTCATTCTCTGACAGTTAGAAAATTCCAAACGAACTCCTGCTGCATCATAAATTAAACAAACAGAAGAAAGAATTTGTCAATAATACGAAAAATAAAATAATTGCAAATATCACGACTAAAATTTCATGCATCTACAAAATCTGCTCCGATAATTTAGTAACTATGCCATGAAAAACGACGCCGAAGCTAGTACAGGACACGTGTATCTTTTCATTATTCAGCATTATTGTGACATGCTGACGTGGAAAAACAAGCACCAGTAATTACAACATATAAGGGGCAACATCGTACTTTCGAGCTAATAAAATGGCGCTCTCAAATGGAGGGCAGTTACCCCACGCGCCAACAAGAAGTTTTGACCGAAACCCTAACAAAATCTCAAATTTCCAATTATATCCTCGTAAGAAAAGAGCTTACCTTAGTTGGCGGGGGGTTAGTTTCTTTTCTTGTTATTCCCTCCAAGTCCTGCTGAAAATGCTCTTGAATCTATTCCCAGCGAGTCTCTGAAGCGCCTTTCTAGCTCCGGCGACTTCCATTTCAGCCAAACTCTGCAGATGCTTATTGGCTCCCACAGCCACCAGTCTTTTCCTACAACCGTCGCTTCCTCCGCTCAACACCGCAATCACCACCATCAATGGAAACTTCTTAGAAACAGCCTCATTCTTTGGATCCAACATCTGTACCAGTCTCATCACACTCTTCTCATCTCTAACCAAATCCTTCCTATTTGATCGGACAGTCAACAGTAAAACAATTGCTTGCGCCGCCGCGTCCTGTAACCCCACTGGTTTTGGTGATTCCATTAATTTTACCAAAGAACCCATACAGCTAGAAATTGCTCGCTTGTTTCCATCACTAATTGACAATTTTGATAACAAAGAAGCTGAGATCTGTTGTAAAATCATGTTCCCGTGCTTCATAAATTCACCCAATTGGATAATGAAGACCGTTGAAGATGATAATATCCGTGAAACGGAATCTGAAACTGAAAGTGAACTGATTGTACGGAGAATATGCTCGATTGTATCTGAACTTGATAAATCTTGAATCAAAGGCATTAACCTCGGCAATCCTTTTTCTTGTACAATCAAAGCGCGAAAATATTCACCAGAAGAAGCGAGTATTGAAATGCAATTGGCTGCTTTTTCTTGTGCAGCGGTGGTACCTGAGACTAATAACTGGAGTAAAACGGGAACCGCACCTTCTTCACCCAAAGCCATTCTAATATCTTCCACGGAAGCCACGTTTCGAAGAGCTCCAACAGCGTGGGTTTGTGTTGGTTGGGAACCAGATCGGCAGGCTTCTATTAAGATCGAGACTCCGCCGTATGCTGAAATTGCCCAGGAGTTTTCGCTATTGGCGGTGATTGCTTCAACAGCAATCGCAGCCTTCTCTTTTAAAGGAATGGAACCTGTTTCGAGGATTCTTAATAAAGGCCCTAATCCTCCTTCTTCGAAGACGATTTTTCTCGAATCTTCGCTTGACGAAGCCAGCACCGACACTGCTAAAACGGCTTGTTCTCGAATTAAAGGTTGGTTGTTAACTTCCAGAAGACTTATCAAATAGCCAACATTTCCTTCTTTAGCAACCACAGGAGTAGATTTCTCATCGTCGTTTAAAAGCTGGATAAGTGATTCTAAAGCTTTCTTTTTGAACTCAATGCCTCCAATCTGAAGTCGCGTAAAGAGATCCCTGATGAAAAATTCTAAATCATCTTTATCAGAGCCAGGTCCCGGGTGAGACAAAACGATGGCGTTGGATTGGTGAAGAATGCCAGATCTGAGAAGCAAATCGAGGTCATGGAGATGGCTGGAGAGAGAAGACGAAGCCATGTCGAGGTCGCTTTGCATGAGGAGTTTCCCACCGGTGAAGGAAGAAAGAGTACATTGATCGGAGAGAGCCTTTAAACGTTGGAGAGTGGAGAGAAGAGAAGGGAAAAGAGTGTGAAGCAAAGAGTTCTCGTTCCAGTGAGGAGATTCGGAGATTGAGGAAAGAGACGATTGGAGAAGACATAGCTTTGATCGGAGGACTTGCCACCGTCCGAGGAAAGATCGAACGGTGAGGGAAGACAGAAGGAGGAGAGAGAGAACGCCTGTGATTAAGTCGAGAAGTGTTTGCGGTGGTTGAAGCTCTGGTTGCTCTGACGGCGGTGGGGCAGGTGGCAGTTGCGGTTGTTCGGTTGGATGCATTTGCGGTTGAAGCCCGGATTAAGAACCGGAACTAGAAGCGTTGGGGTTAAGGTCAAAAGGGAAAAACATGAAAGAAAAAGGGTTTGCTTAGGGGGAAAGGAAAGAGAAGGAAATGGAGAGAAAGAGAAACAGAGAGAGAAAGAGAAAAAGGGATTTCTCAGTGTGAGTGAAGCGTTGGAGGCGAGGGGAATAATTGTGTATCCGGGGAGAGAGACGAGCTAGCTAGTTGGTTCCTGGCTTGAGCTAAAGAGTCAGTTACGATACGTTGACTAAAAATCTTTTCTCAAGACTTTTGCCACGTCATATTAAGAAAATGTTTTAATCTATTATTTAATACAATATTGACTTTATTGACCAAAAATTTAATTTTGATTTTGAAAAGAGTATATAAAAATTTCCAATTTAAATATTTTGTAGAAAATAATAAGAAGTCACAGTTTAAAATTTTTGATAAAAAAAGTGTTACAATTCAATTGGATAAGAAGGAATATGCACTTGAATATCAACGTGGCTTACATTTTTTGTACAAGTAAGATTTTTTTTTTTGTTTTTATTGAGAGAAATTGCACAAAATCTTATTATAAAACTTGCTTTATATAATCTTCGAACCAATATTTCCATCATTCATCAAAATTTGAATATTTAATTTGAAAGTAAATGGTAGTGAACAGTGAATAGGAATTCGTAGTGCTTGATTTGGGTCTAAGCCTTGGGCATGTAAGTTTCTTATTCACAAAAGTAAGGAAATAAAAGATATATTGAGTGGATGGTTAGTTTGCCATTCTTAAATTGTAAGGAAAAAGGTAATTTTTTAGAAAAAGTATTATTGAAAGAGAATATGTAATTTTTGGATTTTGATGATTTAGAGAATGTAAAATTTTTATATTTGATTTAAAGTAATTAAAGATTATTTAATAAAATTTTTTATTATATTATCATTGAAAATACGTGTTATTCATAACAAGTTATTTTACATAAATAAGACGTAATATAATAGGTAATATTTATATTACATATTTATTTAATGCAATAATAATCACAAATTAAATCTTATATCTTATAACTTTGGGTTAATTGAATGAAAGACAAGAAAAAAAAAATCAAGTTAGCCTATAATTTTGAATTTTTTTGTATCACTTATTTTATAAAAAATAATTTTTTTATCTACTTTATTAACATTCATATAATTTCTTGTTATTTGTAATCATGTCTTTCGTGGTCTACCATTAAAAATTTTGATCTTTTTAAAATTTAGAAGCTCATTTATTCTAACTGATGTACAAATAAGCTTACATTTCACATGTATAAATTATCTCAAATAATTTTTTTTTTATCTTTTTCTTAATTCGTATTATCACTAATTTTTCACGAATCTTTTTATTTTTTATTTTGTTTCTTATAGTCTTACTAGACATCAATTTAAGCATTTTCACTTCGATTATACTTTTTTCTTCTCATGTTATTTTTTAACGACCCAACGCTCATTTATGTATTTAATAGTTAATTAATTAATATATTTACTTATTTAACATGTCAATGATTTATTTAATATTAATGAAATTAATAAATAATCACAAATTATTAAAAATATTTTTTTAATTTTTTTGTTTAGTTGAGTTTTTTAATATAAAAGATAATGTTTTTTTCTCAAAAAACATAGTCTTTTATCGTTTAAAGACAATAACGTAAGAAGTAATAAAAATTAATTATAAAATTTTAAATATAGTCTTTATTGAAAACCAAGAAGTAAAAATTGATAGAATTTTGAAAAATAATTTTTTAAACATAGTGTTTGGGTTTTAATATTCTAAACGTAGTTTTTATTGAAATTATAGAAATTTGAAAAATAAAATTTTAATCAATTAAAAGTAAAAAATTTAATTATAATTCACAAATTTGATTAATATATTCTAATTTTAAATAAATTAATATTATTTAAGAAATATACATATGTTAACAATTATTAAATTTTTATTAAATAAATTCAAATCAATTTTACAAACTAAATACAAATTTAATCTTAATGAATAAAAACTAAATACGATTAAAAAATGAGTTAATTTTATATTTTCTAAAAAATGAAATTTAAATATGGTCATTGCTAGGTGTCAAAGGAAGAGACTTGGAATGTTTTGTTAGTGTCAATTTGGGTTTTGGTTTATCATGCAATTTCTTTGATATTGAAAAGTAAAATAGATTGTAAAAACCGTTTTATCTAGGGTAAAAATGAGATAAATTTTACATTTGTTAAGAATCTTAAAAAATATGAAGGAGATGAGAGTTAATGATTTAAGGTTATTTTCTCTCTTAACACCATTGGAAATCTTAAAAAAAATCCCAAGGAATCATATTATGAAAACCAAACATGATTAAAAGTTAAAGAAATTAACCTATAAGGACTTGATTTAGTAATAAGAAAGAGGTCCTATAACTTTAAGATATTAGATTTAAGTCTTATTGTGCATGGATATTTAACTTTATGTTGAATTTGTTTTAGTTTGTTGATTAATTTGTTTGTTTGATTATTTAAGGCTTTTTTATATATAGATGTAATATTTGATTATAATTGTAATTTGTACTTGTAATTTCATAAAAAAGAGTTAAAAAATAATTTTATCCACTTTGAAATTTTGAACTCTATAAACGTGGTTAATTGGATAACAAAAACCACTTAGGTGTATTTTAAAAACAAGAAAAAAAAAGGATATATATTAGCCTTTTAATCCTATTTGTGAAATTAAAAAAATTAAATTAATAATATATAAAATATTATACTCTTAGAGACACGAAGTGAAATGAAATAAGAGATAGTTATTACTATTTTTTGCGTTTTAAAGAAATTTGTTTATCTAATGACTATGAAATTTTTTGGAAAAAAAAAAAAAAACAACAATAAAATTTAAAAGAATGAGAAAGGATAGCATTATGAACTTCAAATTTCAATATAACTAAAAAATCGACCTTCCATTTTGATAACAAAAAAATCAAATAATTTAATTACAAAATAATACTATTTGGAGAATCATGTAACTCAATTATTAAATTAATTTTTTATTTTAAAGAGAGTGTAAAAATGTAATATTAAGGCTTCATTTGTTTCCCGAAAAATGACTTTCGAAAATGATTTTTGCATTTTTTAGTATTTATTTGGTCAAAAATTAGTTGATCAACAGAAAATAAGAATATTTTTTAAAAGTATTTTTTTTTCAAAAGGAGAAGACAATTTTTGAAAAAAAGATATATATAAGTAAGATTACTTACCTAACTCATAAATATAATTTTATTCAACTCAGACCTTGAAAATATTTTTTTTAAGTTAAAACTTAATTTTAACTTATCAAAAATATTATTATATTAATAAAAATATATTATTTTATTTTACAAAAAAATTAAAATATTAATAGTAAAAATCTTCTAATATTTTAACTTTAATTTTTTTTTTATAGTTCTACTAAAGTAAAACATTGAACATAATATTTTAAATTTAAGCTTGATTTTTTATTTTTTTGTTTGATGTGATTATATAAAAAATTTGAGCATTTTGTTGGAAATGATGTGACACAGTTATTTTTGTCTTTCCTTAATGGCGATTGGGATTTATCGAATACAAATCACACTCATGTTGTTTTAATCCCGAAGACCAAAGATCCCACTAAAATAACACAATATAGGCCTATAAGACTTTGTAATCTAATTTGCAAGATTATCTCTAAAGTTCTAGTGAATAGGCTTTAGACTATTTTACCTATTTACATTAGTGAACTCCGGAGTGACTTTATCCTTGGTAGGCTAATTTTAGATAATGTCTTAATAGCATATGAACTTTTTCATAAGGGTGTAAGCGAATAAAGTTTTTGACGAATCATTTATAAATATATTTGAGTTGTATTTGTTTATATTTGTTTACTAAGCATAATAAATGATTTTGAATATTATTTATATATTTGTTTATTAAATTAACCAAATATCAACAGTTGTCTGTTTATTTATTTATGTTCACGAATAAATTTGTTTATAGTTCATTTAAGACTCGTTCATTTATTATTCGTTTATTATTTGTTTGTTGTTCATTTATAATAATACTAAAAAAAAATTATATTTTTATATTTTATCGTAATCTTATTTTAATGTTTGTTTATATTTATTTGAGTTTGTTTAAGGTTAATTTGTTTAAATTTATTTGGTTATAGTTTGTTTATTGTTTATGAATATGTTCATTTATATATGTTCGTGAATATATTTATTTAATATTTACAAATGTGTTCGTTTAATTTAATTGGACGAACATAAATTGAATATGAACAATTTATTATTTAAACAAATAAATATAAACGAATAGAATAATTTTTTCAACAAATACGAATGAAACAAAAATATCTTTAAAAATAAATAAACAAATATAAATATATATTCATTCATTTATATTTGGTTCGTTTATAGCCTTTCTTCTCCACACTTTGAAAACTAAAACGAAGGGAAATAATGGTTCTTTTGCTTTGAAACCAGATGTAAGTAAGGCCTATGATCATGTTGAATGGAATAATCTTGGAGCGATAATGAAGAAAATGGGTTTCCATCCTAACTCGATCGTAATTATGATAAATCTTGTTACTTTTATCACCTATTCCTTAGTGATTAATGGTGGTACTCTTCATGTCTTTAGACCAGAAAGAGGACTCCGTGAAGGGGATCCCCTTTCGCCTTATCGTTTTCTGTTGTGCACTGAAGGACTAGCAGCAATGCTGTATGACAAGCAAGAGTAGGGCCTGTTACATGGAGTACGAGCAAGTCGATTTGGTCCAAGAGTTAATCACCTATTCTTTGCTGACAACAACCTACTATTTGTGAAGGCAAATAGAAGCGAAAATGAGAAGGTGAAGCATGTGGTACAAAGATACGAAGAAAGCTCAGGACAGTAGATAATTTTTAAAAATTCGGCCTTGTACTTTAGCAAAAATGCAGCAGATGAGTGAAAGCATAAAATTAAGGACATGTTTGGAGTCCAATCTACAACCAATTTGGAGAGATATTTGGGACTTCCATCCATGGTAGGTAGGGACCCTAAAAGTACATTCAAGGAAACTAAAAGACAGAATCAATTCAAGACTGAGTGGATGGAGGCATGGAGCCATAGAGCATTGTCGCAAGGGACAAAAGAAGTCTTCACAAAAGCTGTTATCCAAGCTACCCTACTTACACAATAAGTTGCTTTCTGTTGCCAATCTCTTTGTGTGATGAGATGAATAGCCTATAGAGTCATTACTGGTGGAGGCATGAGAAGGGAAAAAATGGAATACATTGGATTAAGTGGAAACAACTATGTCGACCGAAAGGAGAAGGGGAAATGGGCTTTAGAGATATGGGAGTTTTCAAAAAAGTACTACTGGCCAAACAAGGATGGAGATTATTGATGAATACTGACACCCTATTACATGGGTTGTTAAAAGCCAAATATTTCCCTGGAGAATCTTTTATGGACTCCAAGCTGGGCAACTTCCTTTCTTTAACATGGAGAAGTGTTTAGACAACAAAGATAGTCATTCAAAAGAGGGTTAGGTGGAGAATAGGAGATGGGAAGATGGTACGCATATGGAAGGACAAATGGATGCCGTTTAATGAAAACTTTAGGCTAAGTTCACCAAGGGGGAGTTGGGATGAGAACGAAAGGTAGAAACATTGGTTGACGAACAATCACGATGGTGGAAATGGTTAGCACTTCAAGAAAGATTCACCGCAGAAGAGGCAGAGGCAGAGGCAGTTTGCACAATACCACTCAACAAAATTGGGTTACCTGATAGGCTGGTATGGAGTGTCGATAAATCTGGAGTTTACGCAGTCAATAGCGCCTATCGAATGTCATGCAACTCAATGGATGCAAACGAGATTAGTGGAGAAGGAAATCAACAGAGTTGAACGCACAAACTGTATGGAAAAGAATTTGATCAACACAGGCACCAACAAAGATGAAAGTCTTCATGTGCGGAATGTGCAAGGAAATTCTTCCGGTAATGCAGAATCTATTTAAAAGGAAAATGCAAGTTAGTACATATTGTCCTCAATGTGGAGAGAATAATGAAACGGTGGTTCATGCCATCATGGAGTGTGATCAGGCAAAGGAGGTTTGGAGGTATTTAGGCTTTCACTGGGATGAAAGGATTAGTGGAGACATGAATATCGTAGAGTGGATAGGAAAAATTCTGGAGAGTTTACCAAAGGAGCAGGCACAACTGATGACCATAGCTGTATGGGTGATATGGAACGATAGAAATAATGAACAGCATGGTGAACAGAGGAGGAAACCCAACTAAGTCAGCAATGTTTGCAAAAAACTACCAGCGAAAATTTAATAATGCCCAACAGCAATGTTCAAGTATGCAGAGGTTGAGGAAGCAGAAATGAGAACCTGGCCCAGTGATGTTTGCAAGGTAAACTTTGATAAAGCAATGAATATGGGAGAGAAGATAGGAGGCTTGGGTGTGATAATAAGAAACTCTGATGGACTGGTAATGGGTGCATTAACTAGCAACTGGCTGAGGATAATAGACCCCCTAACAATCGAGGCTATTGTGGCAGTTAGTGCTGTGGATTTTGCAAGGGAGATGGGATTTGAAGATGTAATTTAGAAGGTGACAGCCTAACAGTGACGTCAAAACTCAAAGCAACAGAACCTGATCTCTCTTCAATTGGAATAATCATCGAGGAAGCTAGAACAAAGATAAAACAATTCAGAACTGTCAACATAATTCATACTAAAAGAGAAGGCAATGAAGCAGCACATTGTTTAGCAAAGTTTGGTTTAGAATCTCAAGCGGGCACTTACTTGGTAGAGGAATGTCCTAATTATGTTCAAAATATTACAACAGCTCACGCAAATTTTGATCATGAATGAAAGTTCTTGTATTCTGGCAATAAATAAATAAATAAATAAAGCTCGATTTAATCCGATATGAAATATTATTATATTTATAAAAATATTCTATTTAATTTTTAATTAAAAAATAAAATATTAACATTAAAAGTTTTTTTATTTTTATTTTGTGTATTATTAAACATAGATGTTTTTAATATTTCAATAATAAATTGTACTATATTATTTTAATAATAAAGAATAATATATTAAATAATAATATTTTAATAATTAATATTAAATGATATAATAATATTATTTTCTTAAATGAATATTTTTAATAATTTATTATTTTTTTCAATTTAACATATATTATTTTTATATCTTTATTATGTTAGCATTATATTATTATTATTATTGTTGTTGTTGTTGTTATTATTATTATTATTATTTTAATAATAAATATAGATATAAATAAATAATATTTTTATTACGATTTAATAATAGATACTTTCAATATAAAATATAAAACAGTATAAACATTTTTTATATTTTAATAATAAATATTATTATTTTATTATTATATCAATAAAAATAATATTTTGAGAATGGTAGCACTATGTTAAATATTTTAAAATATTAATATAAATAATAAATAGTTTTTTTTAAGTGTTTTTTATTATAATATAATATTTTAATATTTAATATTATTAAAATATATATTCCAAATATTAGTAATTTTAAAAATAAATAAATTCAATTTATTTTTATTATAAATAATTTTTAATATTTTAATAATTATTTCAATAATTTTTAGGAAAAATAAAATTTTCAAAAAAAATCAAACAATAAAAAACATTTTTATTAACTCATCTAAATAATAAAAAATCTTTACTTTTCTAAAAATTTAAAATCAATTTTTCGTAAAACAAACTAAACTTAAGTAAATACTAATATTACTATTTTAATTATTTTTAAACCAATTTTGGTTTTTCCAAATCCACCCATTTTTTGGTTACAAGTTAGTTTACTTTAGATATAATTTTAGATTCAATACTCAATCCATCATTCTTTAACCCTTGATTGCCATCATTATCAAAAGTTATAAACTAAACAAACAAACATATCTTCCTTCAAAAATCAAGTAGAAAGAATGAACACTCAAAACTCAACATATATAGACATATCATTCCTCTTAACCTCATCTTAATAATTTACAAATTCAAAATCCAAGATTTAAGTCCTGCCCTTAAATGATTTTTGAGAGGTCAGTTTTTTTTTTTTTTAATGTTTTACTAGCTTTTAATTTAATTTGAATGTAAAAGATTTCAATTCATTTTTTATTGATTGTCGTTAGTCAATCAATCATTCGATATTTTTCGTATATAAGAATGATTAACATTGCTTAAACAATAAGCTTGTAATATACATATATATATATATGTATATATGATTAGGGATAAATTTTATAATTTTAGATATGATATAAAAAATAAAAAAGATACAATTTAAAATTAAAATTGTATATAAATTTAATAAAAATAAAAAATAAAATTTATATTTAACATATAACTCAAATTATTATATAATAATTTTTCTATTTTTATATATTTAATATAAAATAAATATAATATAAACACATGAATTTGTTTAAGGTAGACATGAATTACTAAATCCATAAGGTAGACATAAAGAATTTGTTTAAGGGGGGCGTGGTTCAATAAAAGGGGATGAACCAGACCTCAGCCCCAGCGTTATACAAATGACATAAGTAGGAGAAGAGGCCCAATGTGTGTTTTTTATCCTTTTTGTTTCCATTTGGCCCACTTTCTGTAGAAAGAAGGAAAAACGAAGGCCCAATACCTAAAACAGTTGAATCCTCAGTTCCCTCTTCCTCCCCTTTGCTTTCGGGTTTATTGTAAATATAATAGTAATAGAGTTGAGTTAAATTAATATAACGAGAAGTTAAAATTTAAGTTTAACTTAAAATTTGTTGGTCAATATTTTTTTTAAATTTGATTGAGTTTTAATTTTTAAGTTTAAATTTAACTTAAAATAAAAATTGAACTATTTAAATTTATTCGATTATATTCATTTATAAAAAATAAGCTTGATTTTCTTAATAGATTTTGAATTCGATTTTCATACTTAATTTTAAATTTAATTATATATTTAAATTGAAGTTTATATTTAAATTTATATATAAAAATAAAATAATAAATTTTAATTACATATATTAAAATTTAAAATTTTGATTAAACTAAAAAATTACTCAATTTAAACATTAAAAAGCTCGAACTTAAGTTACACAAACTTGATTTGATAATAATCAAGTTGAATTTAAATTTTATTATAATCAAATTTAAATAATTTATAAATATTAATATATCATTTATATATGAAAAAAAAAAAAAGCACTCATTTGTGGAATTCGTCATTCTTTCTCCGAATTGCGGCAGACTTGTGGCAATGTTTGAGCAAAATGAAATTTCGAATATCATTTTGTTTATTTTTTATTGAAAATATATGTCAGATCTAATGCTGCTATGCATGAAAGATATGCAATATGTGTTTTCATGCAAAGTTTGGTATTTCATCTATATTTGCAATTTATTGCTAGGAAAATGCAGAAAAATATCCAATGTTATTAATGTATTGCTTTTGTTTTATAAATAGGTTTTGAAGCATGGGAGATGTTGTGTGGAAATGGAGTCTTTGACATATCAGTGAATCATGTACAAATCAATGAATTGTTGATGGACAAATATGTTAGGAATGGTAGATATTATTATTTTGTCATATTTGTTTTATAAAATATGATTATTAATTTTAAATTTGAATTGAATTATAGTTTTATTTTTATTTATATTAAAATTATATTATTTATAAAAATAAATCTAATAAGAATGTATTAAATTTAAATCGTGTTGAATCATGTTATGTTATATAATATTTAAATGAATTAATATTAAACATATTAAGTGTATAAAATATATAATAAATAACTTTGTAGTGTTCAATAAGTTATGTTATGATCGTGTTTTAATTATCTTGACTGGCCTAAGAAACGACAATATTCCAGGTTTGGTTGGCCGTAAACCCCTTAATTTTTATGAACAGTGAACACTACCTAAAACCCCGCAGTCACTCAGCCCAGGTCAGGCAGGGCAGAGCATCCATAAACGCAGAGCGAACAAGAAGAAGAAGAAGAAGCAAAAGCAAATGGTGAACAAAGCATGGAAGGTCATTCCAAGACCTTTACTGGAAACGATCCTCAACAACCACGCCCAACACCACCGTGTCCCTCAACCCCTCATTCTCCACGGCCCCCGTGGCGTCGGCAAAACCACTCTCATCCTCGACCGTACGATTCCACCTTCCCTCCCCTCCCCTCCCCCTCCCCTCCCCTCCCCTCAAATTCACTTTCCATTTCTCTTTACCACAGTCATAATTCACTTCTCGTTTTTCTTTTTCCAGGTCTTATTGGTGAATGGAACAAAGGCCCCCACTTAACCGGCTATGTAGACTTCGCTCAATCAATCAAAGACCACCATCCCAATTTCGACGGCTCCTTTCCTTGGTCCTCTTGGTCCACCTGTGACCGACCTTCTTTAGCCAACTGCCGAACCCAACTCGAAAACTGCCTGGAATCAATGGCTTATAAAGGTGTCAAGCTTGGAACCATTAGCTCCCACCAAATCTTCTCCACTCTCAACAAATGGCACGGGCTAAACACTGCACTGCGCCAGATATTAAACCAAAACGCTTCTAAAACTGCTATTTCTACTAAGGTTTCAAGCTCGGGTTTATGGGATCGAGCGGTTTTTGCATTATCTGCTCGATTAAATGCCGAAGAGATTGATGAGGTTTTGGAGTTTGAAGAGAAAGGGAAGAGTTTGTCTATAGAAGAGACTTCTTACTTTAGGGAAGCTATTGTGGCGTTGAGATTGGCGAAGGAGGTGATTACGGTGCACCAAAAGTGGAGAGCTAATGCCATTGCTGATTTGAATAGGAGTGGACGGTTTTCAAGGTCGCTAGCTCATTCATGTACGGATTGGCCTTGTTTGTTGCTTGAGTTGCTCTCTCAAGCTGCTGAGATTGACCAGTTTCAGGTAGTTTGTTAATTAGAAAATTTGGGAGGAACCTATTTATCGCGTTAAAAGTGGTTTGTCAATTAATTATTGTTTTGTTTAAATTGAGCAGCCAAAGTTGGTCATAAATAATATTGAAATTCTTCGGAATGCGATATTAACGGATGACTCGACAGTGTGTGGATCAATGTATCATGACAGTTTGATATGGAGAATAATTGCTTTAGGAGCAAATGAGCGATGCCTCCCTGTTGTACTTGTGACATCAGATAGGTTAGGACCATCAATATTTAGCCATGTTCTTTGTTTAGTTTTATTTACTCTATGCTAAATATTTCTATTTTCTGTAAGTTTCAAGTTTAGACTTTTCAATTTTCTTCCTTAATTATCTGAAATATTGCCACCTTTAGAAAGCTGAAGGCCAAGTTCATGATGCACATTGTCTAAGAGCAATAATTTTTGAGAAATATTTAGTTTCAAGTCCCATTTTATTGTTTAGCTCAATAGAACAGGGAAGTATTGCCAAAACAGTAAAAATGTGCTACAATCTTCAGAATTACAGCTATTTAATGTTTTGTATCCTCGCCAGATATTGACAACTGTGAAGCAATTCTTGCATGTTGTTGTTTGATGGTCAATTTTTACATTATTATGACATATTTTGGTTAAAGGAATTATGAAGCTTTCTTCCTATGCTTTATTTCTTGGAACCTTCACAATGCTTACGTTTACATCTTTTTCAGGTGCCTCTGCACTTTTCCAACTCTTTTACTTCTATTTCTAACTTCTTAGTTCTAACATTTTCTCAGCTACTATTCATATCGAGCTTTCATGGATTTTGGGTTTCCAGATATATTCATCTCTCGTGAGGTACTTAGAAAACTACATATGATACTTACTTTGCACGTACATGTGTGTACATGCAAACACATGGAGACACACCCATAAAGCATGTTCTATGAATGAGCATGCACGTTTGCATAATGCATCTATGTGTTTCATTTCATTGGCTTTCAGTTACTGTATTTTCACCTTCAAGTTTCGAAAATTTTCTTAAGAACTTTGATCACTCACTTTAGTATGTATATAATATAATTGGATGATGCTGATGGATGACAAATATTTCAATTTGTTTGATTTGCAGACCTTTGGTTGGACTCCACAAGAAGCTAAACTACACATGGTTACCGATTACTTCACTCATGCGGAGGTGAGTATTGATTTGCTATTGCTTTAATGCAACATGATAAAAGATCACCTTAATCAGGAAAGAAGGAAAAGCCCCATCAAATTTTATTTTTAGTTCTTAATATTCTGTAGAGGGCATTTTTTCCTTCAAAACCATCTATCAGAATCTTGAATTACTGACATTCTTTGCAAGTTTTAAGTTACCTGCACTTGGATTGCAGTGGATGGTGATAGATGATGTGCTTGGGCCAAACCCTCGACATCTATTTGAGCTTTATGTGCTCAAACAAACCAACTATTACCAGAAGTAAGAATCGTTTCATGTTCAGTTTGGTGTATTATTATCTCATATCTCATATTATACACTATAATGGCTTCCAAAACTAAATGTTGGAATTTGTTTTTTTCTAGATAATGATTAATGATTAAAGTGTGTGGTTATGGTACTCCTGTGTTTTTGTTGTTGTTGAGTCTCATTGTATCTCAGTTGCTTTATGATCTGTCTTTTGCTATTTTTTTAAGATTCTAATCTCCCATTCCCAGGATTAATAAAAAAATGAATTTAGTAAAAAATTTAAATGTTAACATTTTAATATGGGTATTTCATGTTAAATAGAACTATTTTTCTTCTTTACTAGTTAAAATTAACGTTATGACTAAAACATTTTGTTAAAAACTTATTTTCTTCAATGATAGGTTGATGGAAAACGAGGCAACTATATTTGAAGACATCATGGATGCATATTTAGCATATTTGCAGGTAAACTTCACGATGTGAAAGCATTTTTCATATTATATCTTTTAATCCTTTTGGGTCCATATGCCATCACTTCTTACAAGTTACAATTTGTCAGGACTGGTTAACATACTAGAATTTGAACTTGGATAATTATATATGATGAACAGTCTATAAAAATCAGTTATAAACTTAACAATTTTCACCTGATTTATTAATTTTATATGCTGTTTTGTCCTAGTAGATATTCCTTGGTAACTGCATTATATTTTTCACTTTATACACGGATAAACAGCTAGCATATAAGCTATTCTGACCTGGATTGTTGACTATGGGTGATGAGTTAGTTTTTCAAGATTCTAATATGCCATTATTTAAATATATTTAAAGACCCCATAATAAGAAAAGAAAGGTTACTTCTATCGCCATCATTGAAGTTGTTGCCCTAGTGGTTAGTACTCTAGGTTTGAGTCCTCACTAGTGCACTTGTGGGCCTTAGCATAGCCTATGGGTTCAGCTTGGCTTGAGAGAGCACCTGTGGCATCTAGACCTCTCTCTTTAGCTCCCCAATAACGTTTTGCTTTGCCCCCCACCTCCCCATCAAAATAAAATAAAAAACCAACCACTACAAAGGTTGTTTCTATAGCCTGTTTTTTGCTTCAATGCTGTATTGCTTTCTCAGATTCTTTGGAATGATTATTTTTTGGTTAATGTGGTGACTCCTTCAATGAATAATGGATTGATGCATTATAAATGAAGTTGGTTCTTGAAAAACTTACAAAGATATTAGAAATTATTAACATTTAGAATATTGATTAGCAGACTTATGAAACTGTTCATTATTTTGAGGGGTCTTTTGATGCTGTGATGTTATTCAATGTTTTCTTTTAATTATTTACTTTGGTTTTTTTTTGTTTGTGCACCATTGCTATCTTACATTCCCTGCAATACATTTTTAGGTTACTGTAGTGAATCCGTCAATGAATAAAGCACTGATGCTCCTACAAAAGTTTGCCATTGACGCACAAAGTGGAAAGATTTTAGAAGATAGATTACGTTTTGGTGCTCCTTGGAGACATCCTCCATCATCCATGGACCCTACGACATGCATGGAATGGGCAAAGATTCAACTAATGGATTTTGTTCAATCTCTAGTTAACGCAGAATTTGGTGTAAGTGTGTCCTTATGCATTCCCACTTCTTTTAAATATTTGCTCTTCTGGTTCTTGTGTGACTATATTTTGTTGGGATTATGCTAGCTGTAAATATGGGAATGCCTAAGATAATCCATTCTTGCTCCAAATTTTGTAGTACATTTTCCATTTTTGGGATTATGCTTCCATATTCTTGTTGATGTTTTGAACTTCGTTTTTCACTTTTTTGATTTTTGGTCATGATACTTATTTTGCCTCCTATAGTCTGGCTTCAAATTCATAACCACCACTCCTGGTCATTGCCAGTGATTGTCTGATTTTTTTTTTACCAAACGCATCAGGCATTGGAAACTTAAAATGTCTTCCTGTTAGACTGCCACTTACAAGTTGCCACAGATTTGTTGCTATTCATCTGCATGCATATTCTTGTTTAAATATATCACTATAACCATAATAAATTTCTTACTTTAGGTCCTCAATTTGCTGTACAATTGTCATTCTTTGTATTTATTCATGCTTTAAGTAATTTTTTTCCCCTTATCTTGGTGCATAGGTTAATTATCTAGCTGACTGTAGCCTAGAGATCTTGGATGATCCAGCTGCCGTTGCATTAGTGGAGGTATTTCTTTTTGCTTTCACACTTTTGTTGGTTTTATAATTTCCCCTGGCCTTTGATTTGATTTAAGGGTAGTGTTAAATCTTTTAGCCAAATCTAACTTTGTCCAATGACCAAAAGTTATGGTGGAATTCAGTTACTTATTGCTTTAAAGTCTTGCTGTATTACTGGTAATATTTGATTTATTTCACTTTTTAAAAAAAATTGCCTAAAATTTTTGCCAAATATTTCTGATCATGTGCTGAGAACTTGATATTGTAAACAGACAGCATGCTATAATATCTTCTTAAACTGATCTTGTGTGGCATTAGGACCCATATTTTCGTGTGCAAGGTTAAACCCATTCTTTGCAAAATACCACTTTCTAGGTTGGCTTGCTTTATGCTCAAAGGGATCCTTCTTTCCTTCGCCCCATCTCTAAAGGTGTTCAGAGGTGTCTTGCAAGATGGTAAGTGAGAGAAAGTACCAAAAATGGGAATGGAAGTGTTACATGCTTATGAGTGTCATATGCTCACATGTCCTAATGTTGAATCACAGGCTTGTCCAGGAGCGGATGCAGTTGAGTTACCAGAACTTGCTTCAGTATCTGTGGCAGCGCATTATACGTGGTCGTAGCTACCGTCATTTGATGCTTCAAGTGGGCTATGATAAATAGAAAATAGGAGAGGACATGGAGCACATCAAACTAGAGTACTAATCTGTTTTTACAAATTCCTTGAGTCTTTGAGTTATGATGTAGTTGTCATGTCACGGAATAAGGAATTATTATCTTATTTTTTAAAATTTCAGGATTCTCCTGGCATAGATGTCGTTCTAAGATTCACTTAAAGTGTAGGTAAATTTCTTTATTTTTTTAAAAAAGAAAAAAAGAAAAAAATTCCTATTTGCATTATTTCATGTTTCATTCGTCCATATTATCAATCAAGGACACTATCTATAGTCAGTGCATTGGAGGTCCTGTTATCTGCTTGATTTTGCTGAATTCTTTTGCACATTAATTGGAGTTTCTGTTATCATCTACTAATGATTCCTTCTTACATAGTTCATATATGTTCAGCACTTTCTGCAGTTGAGCCTTACTGTTCTACAAGTTCCTTGTGTGATTTTATGTATCTTCCTAATCCTAAAAGTTCCATTTGTTAGTTTTTACTATGTGGGGGACCTTTGGTAAATATCTGAAGGCTTAAATACAATTTCAAATATATTGTAAGATTTATTTGTCCTTGTTAGATTTCTTGATGTGTTTTTGAGATTATAGTTAGAAGTCATTTTTTGGCATTTAAAAGTTTTAAGTGCATATTTTGTGCACAACATACATGTGTAATGACGTTAAGCTATGATCTATATTCTAGAATGTTGTTTTGAGCTGATGAAAACTCGTACCTTACATTATAGATCTTAGTTTTCAGCAAAACTTCTCTACATTGCTGTATAGGTTACATTACATGTGCTAAATTGGTTTTTCATGTATAGGTTGCTGTCAGATGTGCCTGCTTTTTTTTGAGATTGGGAACTAAGAACTTGACTAAACTATTTTGTGGATGCATTGCTATCAGAGACGACTTTTGATACTAACAAGGTGAGTATTTTTTGCAATCATGCTATGTTTTAACAATGACATTCTGATTTGGATAATTTGAATGGTACTTTTCTTCCACACTATTGCCTAAATGGACAAGTTGACAGTAAAGCAGATATAGGCAAATTGTACATATATATTTTTTTCTATTTGAATGGTATATGACATTTTTTTTCCTTTTTCTTTTTTATAAGAGTTAATTACACTTTTGATACCTGAGCTTTAGGAAAATATACAAATTGGTACCTAAAAAATAAAATGTACATTTTGCACCCTACACTTTCAAATAATATATCATTTTAATCCAAATTCTAATGCTATTAACTTACATATATGATATTTAACCAGTTTAATTTTGTTATATGTATGTTATTTGTAAAATAAAAGTGTTAAATATTTTGTAAAAGCACCATGTGATACTACATGACAAATAATAATTGACTGATTTTAAACAATTATTACGGTTCAAGTATAATATATATTTTTAAATTTATATTGAGAAAAGATGTTCATAGTATCTGTGATGAATACATAATAATACTGGTCAAATTCACATATATATACTGATATGGTTAGCGAGAGTAGAGTTTGGGTTAATATGATAGATAATTTGAAAGTTCATAGTACAAATTATATATTTTATTTTTTTAGATTCTAATTTGTATATTTTCTCAAAGTTTAGATATCAAAAGTGTAATTAACTCTTTTTATAATGTCCTAAAATCATGAACCATCCACAGGATTTATTTCCTGTGTTGCAACATGGATTACCTAGATGTATTATGAGGCCTGAACCATATTCTGAATGCTTAATGCTTGCAAGTACAAAGAAAGAATCTAAACCACTGCTGTGTCCTGTTGTCTGCAGCTGACGTTTATTGAAAATGGTAGCTTGGGATGATCATCTGTGTTACTGAGGTATATATTTATCCTGAACCATTTTTCAGAAAACTTGTGCCGTGAGCATTCAATAATCATTTATATGTGTTCCTATTTCATTTAACAGTCCATTAAGTAGGATACATTCATTTTAGGGTGGTTTCTTATGTTACATGATGATAGCAGATAGAAAAAAAAGGGTTTGTGGGTGGCGATAATGATATGCTGCCTCGTGAGTAATAGGTAGAAGGAAGTTATTTTCTTATTTGTAGTTTATTCTTTTCTATGCTTCAATAAAAAAGAAGTTGATCTCTTCTGAGCCATCATCCATGGAATTTATTCAGGCTGAGAGATCGAACTTTATCGTTTGCAAATGCAATTTTGCATTGGTGAAAATATTAGGGGAAAAGGAAAAGCACTTGGCATGGACCCTGAAAGATCTAAAGTTGAAACGACTCATGTTACTACTGATCATTGCATGTTACTGCTAATCATTTATTTTTCTTTTTCAACCAAAAGCAAGAATTAGAAGTCGATCGCCATAACATTAGGGAAAAAAAAAACCAAAGGTAAAATCAATCCAATGCTACTCCTATAACTTAGACCAATTATCTGTTGGGTGGGGATAAGCCCAGTTTTCCATCATTAATTAGCTGTTGCAATACCTAACTCATAATCGCCGGATTTCACGGCTTTTTGACTTTGTGAAGCAAAATTAGATTCGTATCTTTTTGAAGATTATATTTTAAAATTTTTTATTATTTTTATAAAAAATTACAATGTAAAAAAATATATAAATGTTAGGATTTAAATTTTAAATTTATTAAATATTTTATTAGGCGTGATTATATGAATCATTACATTTTTATTTTCGATATAAAATGTTGAGCCTTTATTCGTTCTAAGGTGCAACCAGTGTAAATTATCCGGTGGCTGACTTAATGCAGTTGCCGTTGCGGCTGTCTTCCTATGGGTCTCAAGGATAATGGCTACAAGAATATAAATAAACATTAAAATCTGAAACTCCTTCCTGAGGCCTCAAGAGTCCATGATTGGCTGCTAAGCTCTATTGACCAAAGACCCTTATAGTTGTATCTGTACCATACCTTTTTTTTTTTTTTTTTAAATTTAATAAAGAGGCAAAGAGGCTGCAATTTAAAAACTAGCGAAAGAAGTTGTAAGAGTTGGAAATTAAATTTTAGATATATCGATTGTTGTTTAAATTGATCGTAAAAATAAATTGACTTTTAATTAACTAAAATAAGCGCTAATGGTTTTTCTGTATCGTATATTTTCACTTTCATAGTATTTGCGTTACAAAGTAAATTGAACATATTCATGATCTAGTGATTAAAAAATTTAAAAAACGTATGTAAAGTGGGAGTTGGAACGTCATCCTATCCCTATTCAATGTCCACCGGAAAAAAAAAATTTTTGAACATGAATTTTGGCAATAATTTTAGAGAGATAACAAAGGTGCAATATTTTTCTGAAAAGCGTCCGGATTCCGGACCCACAAAACTTCTAATTACCATCCGACAAATTGATCATAATTCATGAACTCTGGATATCTCCAATGCGACGCGGTTTCTCCATTACCACTATCTCTTTTATATTCACTTAGTTTCCACTTACTATTTTCAGGTTTTGCTTCTTTCGCCCAACTACATTTTCCTGGTATTTGAATTTTTTTTTCTCCTTCTGGATCTTTTATTTCTTATAGCTATTCTCCTTTACATTTATTTTCTTTTGAATTACGGTAGACCAAGTATATGGGGAAGAGTATTGGATCTTAATTTCATGCATAATGCAACTTTTCTATTCAATGTCTGCATGCATTTATTCATCTACAAAGCTTCATCTGTTCTTTTCATTTTCCTTTTACATTTCGATTTTCTTTGATTAGTTAAACAACGTCGACTCTGAACTTTGCAGCCCATTATATACATGTAGAAAGAGCAAAGTAAAAAAAAAAAAAAATGGAGAGCATGGTCATAGACAGAACAATGACGAAGTGGAAGAATCTGAAACAAAGGCTTGGATTGAAGGCAATGGGGTGCTGCGGAGCCACCTGGACTCCTAGAGCCAGAATTTCAACTATTTCAATCCTACTAGAAGATGAAGATGAAGAAGCAGCTGAAAGGCAGCAAGTTATTATGAGCAGGAGCGGCAATGTCGTAAATAACCGTATTCAGAATAGAAGAGAGAACAGTGCCAGTACCCCACTGTTGGTGGGGCAGCAGCCAGTAGTAGTCACACCAGGTAATTCAGGGATGAACTTGGCAATGGCTCTGGCAGCTGAGCGTAATATGCGGGGAAACAACGTGGTTCCCAGTCCCACGCAGGTGAAGACGTTGATGAGATTGATTGAAGAAACGGAGGGTGTTGATTGGAATAATTATAAGAAGAAAAGGAAGGACAATGTTGTTGTTCATGTTGAAGGTGGAGGAGGGAGCTGCGATTGGATGTGTTGCGTGTGCATGGAGAGGAAGAAAGGGGCGGCTTTTATTCCATGTGGGCACACCTTTTGCAGGGTTTGTTCCAGGGAAGTCTGGCTCGATCGGGGTTCATGTCCTGTCTGCAACCGTTCCATTCTCGATATTCTTGATATTTTCTAGATTTCAGAGTTTCAGACCCCCCCCCCCCAACCTCCCACCTGTTCTTGTTTTTTGCTTCTTTTTCTCTTTTCTTTTGGGGTTGATGGAGATTCCTGAAAATATTCTTTGAGGGGAATTTTACATGCAATGTAAGATGAAAGCAATACGACAACAACACTTTCAAACCGCTTTCATTTTGGTATTTGGCTGATTGGCTTTACAAATGTTAATCACAAGACACAAAAGCATGTATCTTGACAAAAAAAAAAAAAATCTGTTTGGATCCAGGAAAAGAAAAGAATTTCCATTGTTTAGCTACTACTTAGATTAGAGGAAGAGAAAATGGAAGTAATCAAATCATTATTAATTTCAAAATGATGAAATTTACATTTATTTTTAATCAATAAGCAATAAAACTCTGAAATATAATGTAGTTAGTTTAAAGTCATACACAACATATATACTTATGTTGTTGACCTATATATAAAGTATTATAGCAAATAATACTCATTTGTTTGTATATTGATTCGATGATAGAACATTAAAATTTTAATTTTAGTAAATTCGATATACAAACTTTAACTGTCTCGAATAAGAAAAAAAAATCAATAATTATCTCATATAACTTTATGTCCTTGCTAAATCATATGTTCATAACCTTGAGTTAACTTGATCTTTTATCATCATTTTACTTATTACATTTTAATAAATTAGAAGAGCATTTACAAGCCCAAAATCTTAAGACATTACATTTAGTCTAAAAGTTAGTCACCAAAAAATATCAGTTAAAGAAAGATTTTAAAAAGTTTGAAGCTGGTTTTATGCCACTCATCTTCATGCTCTACATTCACAAGTTGTGCATTTATTTGTTGTGGAAGAACTTTTTACACAATCAAGTAAATAAGTATGAAAAAAAAAATTTTTGCCCAATGAATTGCTGAGAGTTGTGAAAGTTGCAACTCCTTTATAAAAGTTTGTCTCCCACGAAACAAACTTTACAAAGGTAAAAGTTAATTGAGTTTCATTTCAAGTGGGGAAGAAGGCTTTTTTGTTTAATTAAATTTATAAGTGAGGAAGTAATAAAATGGATCTTTGCATGAAATTTCATTTAAAATTGGTATGGTAAAATATTAAAAAAAAAAAAAAAACAACCCTGATCAAAGGGATTTGGACAAGTTTGGCAATTTGTTATGGGAATCTTTAAGGACCCTAACCTCTTGCAGGCCCAATGGATAGATGGAAAAGGGATTTAAGTTTAGGCCTAGCTCTACCAACACTAGCTCATAAGAACAATGGGCTTCAGTTAATTGAGTAGGCCACTAGGCCTGATTGATCTTTATGTATTAATTGTACTACATAAGAGAAGAGATTAACTTAAACCATTAATTTTTATATTTTTTTAATCATTAATTTTAATAGATTTAAAAGATGAGATTAAATAAATTTTTTTATCTTTTTTACTTGCTCTCTCGTCCCTTGGATTTATTAACATTAATAGCTAAAAAAATGATATAAAATTTTTTAATTTTACACTAATGTAAATTGATCCCTTTCCATATTATAATTATATATAATAGATGCAATGCAAGAGAGGACTAATTAACTAAATTTAGGTACAAAAACCAATTATGCACATTAAAAAAGATAATTAGATTTTAAATAAATTTAATATTATGTCTTTAAAAGTTATTTTTTTGAACTTAATCAACATTCGGACGATTTATAGGTAAAATATTAAACTCTTAATTTTAATGATTAAGATTCAATTTCCAATAATCTCAATTATCAATTTTTTTTTTGAATTTGAAGTAATAAACTTCAAAAATTACTTTAATATTAAATAAATATTACAATAATTTTATATTACTAAAGGAAAAACACACTTAAAAAAAGCTTATAAAATTTGTCATGATCTTTACTTTATAGATTGGATTTTTATATTTAGATTCTTTTAAAAAAAATGTGATAATATAATAGATATGTATCAAGGCAATGCATGATCATATAGGTAATATAAAGGAAAAAGGATGGAAAAAAAAAAAAACAAGAGACAAGAGAGCAATAAATTAGGCCAATAAGTAATTAGGACCATTTCAAGGTTGGTTTGGTCCCATCTAACACTAGTATGCTAAGGTGCCATGCTAGGGTTAGGCTCAAATTTATCCAAATTGGCCCAGACCCTTCACTTGTCTTTTTCTTTCTTGATCCAATGCTTCAGTAAAAGTATACATACTTGCCCTTGTGTTGCATTTCCTTTCACCCTATGCATATATATAAAAATTACTGACAGAATTATTAATTTTATCATGAAAAAAATTTTATTCATTTTTATTTATTTTTAATTTTTGAATATCATACTTCAAAAAGTGGATCCACCCCTAATTGGCAGTTACCATATTATTAGTTATGTTCATTTGAGAGCGTGATGAGCGCATTTCCATTGTGTCAAAGGATCGTGTTAGGATTGAATGGAGCCTCCTTAAAATCCATCTTTTCGTCTAATTTTGTGTTTCAGATGGGATTTTTATTCATTATTCTTCACTTTTAATAGATTAATTATTTCAATGCGTAAATTTCAATATTCATTATTGAATCCTACTACAGCTATTAATTGTGATATTTAAAAGTAACCGAGAGTCAGACCGACAACTCGTGCTACTTTTTCCTTTACTTTGAATAGCTGTTCCGAGGGTGGTCCGAAATGTACTTGGTGAAGACTTATGATTCATGTAATAACTGTATTTATATGATGTTATCCCCTGCCTACTGTTATAAAGATATTAGCTATTGGGACATGACCTATTCAGTTGGTAATATTAGTTGGAAAGATGCTTGTAAAACAATGCCTAAAAAAAGTTAAATCCATGTTGAAAATTAAAATAAGGATACTTTTTTTTTTTTTAATGTTGAAATTGTTTTCATAATGCATATTAGCTTTTTCTTTGGAATTGTTTTACGAATTTTTTCAGATAAAAATTATTAATTAAAGAGTCCAATTTACAGCTATGTATAAGTTATAGATTATTTAATTAGTACTATTTCAGAAAAAAACTTTTTTTCATTTAATACACTACTTTTATTAAATTTAAGAAAAAATAATTCATTAATTACATTTTTCTTTTTTTTTTTTAAATATCATCTTAACAAATGTTATTAAGCACCACGCAGTTAACATAACTTCAAGTCAAGTATAAAATATTTCTAAAATTAAAAGCAGAAACGAATGCCCTAAACGTTTTTATTTTTTTTTAAAACAACTATTACTTTATTGATAAAATATTAAAATTTTAATTTTAATAACCAAAAATCAATTTCAAACCATTTCAAGTACTAAAAAAAATTAAATTATCATTTCTCCAGTTAATTCACTCCTTATATTAATTCTTCTAGCCGAAGATAAAAAAAAATATAATAATATTTTTAAAAATGTACTCCTTTTATTCTTTAGCAAACAGTTAAGTCACGTTACATCTAGTTGCTTAGTCAACAAAGTTAACCTCCACACTTGATAAATCAACTTGTGTCCAACTGTTACATAATCACTAAAGAAGATAGATGCCTAGGCTCCTCATCATAATTCGAGTTCGTCCTTAAATTACTTTGTTGGTAATTTAGATGTTTTAATATCCCATATTAGATAAAAATATTTAATTATTAATTAATAAAATTAATTTTTGTATTAATCTCATTCATATTTTAAATAATTATAGTTGAACAAAAATAATTATTATATGATAAATGATCATAATTATTTGAATATAAATATATTATTGTTCATAAATGTTATGATTATATAAAAAGTCATAATTATTTAAATGTAAATTTAATGTCTATTCATTCTTTATAAATAGATCTTTCATTTTCACTACTTTTGATTGAATAGTTTGTGGTTTGTTATATCTTATAAGCATAATTACTTTTAAAAAAATATTCTTCACACCACAAAGCCAAATTTCTTTTTTACTATTTCTATTCTCATATTTATTTTTTTCTAACAATCTAAAAGCAATTATAAATTTTTTTTATATTTCGTATTTATGGAGATGCAAGAGAAAGGAATTTAGAAATGTATTGGTGAAATCCAAATTCTTGAAATAATTATGGATAAAGAGAAATAATTAATTCTTTACCGTAATGTAAGATAAGTTTTTCTTTAATTTTTATTCAAAATTAGTATGTCATTAACTCATTGTTTGATTCTATTGTATTAATCCAATTTCATGATTGTTTTTCATATTACTTGGACTTTTGGAATCTATTAATTATACATTCCAAAAATTTTACTAGAATGGATTTTTCATAATTGTGGCTAATAGTAGTATGAAATTAATATAGTGAATATGTTGGCATGATTTATTTGTGAAATTTATGTTACCATTTCAAACTGAAAGTTTGGCCAACAAATTGGGTTAAATGTGATATTCAAGTTTAAATGGAAAAGGCACATAATTAATAACATTAAAGGCTATTGCTAATTACAGATAATTTGAAGGCTATCCACTGATGTCTTATTAAGCCATATTTAAATAATTTAAATAAAGTTTATTTTAAAGCAAATAGAGATTATAAATAATTGTAAAGATATATGGCATTATTATGCATAGATTAATTAAAAAAGGAAAATGTACAAACCTCAATGTGTTTTTATAATTTCATGGTAAGAATGTGTACTGGTCATGCACCCTTAATGTGTAGATTTGATAATGATGTTAATTTACAATAGCCCTAATACTTGGAATTGATCACTAAATGAATTATTTATGGAGAAAGTGGTATGACTTTTAAATGAATAGTGCTTTTGATAAATTTGAAAATTATTTATTTATAAATAATACACAAATAAGTTTTCTCAGTAGTTTTTGCATAAAAATGATATTTGTTTAATTTTATTTGATAATAATTATGACTTGTATAAATAATCTACATCTTATAATTTAGTTTTGAAATATAGTCAAAGTATAAAATTATAATTACTTTGAGAGCCATGAGTGATTCAAATGATTTTGTGAATATAAAAAAAAAAAAGCAAGATGAATACTATTTGACTTGACTCATTTGGGTGATGTATATGGTTTTGGTCATGGTAATAAATTGGTGAATGGTATCCATGATGAAATATATCCATAAGTTTCCATGAAAGTCTAAAAAAGAGACTATAGAAAGTATGAGTATACTAAAAAAAAA